ACTCATTCATTCAGGCATGGACAGAAAAATTAGTATTATTAAATCCACACCTTACTGTTAAGGGTTTAGAGAGTTCATGTGCCAAATTAGGTACATTGAGTAAACATGCCAGAGTAAAAAAAAATGATATCTGAAAGTTTTTAACTTGTTGAGTAAAGCAAAAAAACAAAAAAAAACAATGAACTCTCTTCATGATAGTCTAGATTTTACAATACTGATCTGTCACCATCTAACATCACTACACAAATACTACTACACAATACTTTATCACGTCACATAACAGTCATATATATGTAAATCATACTTTACATATTTTCAAGTATATTACTGATGCAATTATGATCATGTGTATCTACTCTGGTGCATCTTTATACTTATAACTTTATACTTATTTCAACATCTTGCACATATTTTGACATGTATCATTGCATATATTATAAATACTCATACATAACTTCATCCCACAGTGCAACTGTCTTTGTGAAACTCCATAAAAAACACCATATGCACTATGTTTTCACCATTATATTTACAGTCCATGTGTTTTAACACAATTCTGCATTTTGTTGTTCTGCATGTTTTTCTTTTACTCTGACTCATTTTTTTTCTTGGGTCCAGATTCACTTCTGAATCATTTGTTTCCTACCATGAACTCCTGCTCTTCTTGTGATTAACGCCTGTTTTCATAGAGACTTTCACAGCCTGATATTTGGACACATTAGTCTGAATGTCTTGATTTTGTTTTGTCGTTGTGCATTTGTGTAAAGGGCTAAGCATGTTTGCTTGCAGACAGGGTAGTGGTCCTGGAGAGGCAGGCTGTGTATCACTTGATGAATGAGCATCTGTTTTCTGAACTGGTCACGGGCCAGGATGGGGAAAGAGGATATGCAGCGAGGAGAGGGTGCTTATTGTTTGCAAAAAACATCTTCCTCTTTAACAGACAGACAGGATGGATTCTCAGAAAGGAAAAAAATTAAATATAAACACAATGGTAATAAAAGATAATAGTCCCACTATATAACATAAACACTTTCACACTTTTTACATTTTCTTCATTTTTTACAATTCCAATGAGAGTTCTTTACAATTCAATTTTTTCAAAAAATATATCTGTGAAATCCATATTTGACTCACCCCAACTTCAGATTTGTGAGTCTAAACTGAGCTTTCAAATAAATTAATAAATTTAGACCAGCTAAAAACAAAAACTTGTCTAGTATAAAACATCACACAAGTGCTGATGCTGACCATAAACCATGTGATTGAAGACAAAAAAAGAAAGCTTAAATTCCTTTTAAATGTTTACCCTCTATTTGACTATGCTGCCATCTAGTGGACACTATTCACTGTAACGCTTCAGTTTTCATGTTAAACTAAACATGCAGTCCTAAAGATATTGTAGTGCAACTGCTTGCAGCTGAGAGCTTCTGCACATGTTTCTTCCACCACTGCAGCTGCTGCTGTACCTTTAGTGTGCCCTTGAAATGTGCACTTAACTTACTCAAAAGTGGGCATTTAATGGGTGTACTACAATGTGTGCACTTCTGCATGTTAAAGCATGCACTTTAAAATGTGCACTTCAAAGTTGCATTTGTAAGCATGCACCTGAAAGTTTTCAATTTAAAGTTTGTACGTGTGCACTCTAACTGGCCTGTAGGGACTTGTGTCAGGAACCAGGGGGACACTTGTTAAAGTACTGACCAAATTGAAATCAGTCTGGTTGCAGGAGAGGTACAAGTTCAAATACTAAGAACTGCAGAGGTGACAGTGAGTCATGCACTGATACCCAAACCGCATGGAGCGCCCCTGTGTGCAGCCTCCTCACTCTGACATCTCTCCACTAATACATGTCCTGTTTGTGCATGTGTGTATTTCAAGCCTATGTGTCTGAGCAGCGAGTCTCTTAATAATTAAGTGGATAAGTGAATTTCCCCTCAGGAATGAATAATAAGTGTATTGAATTAAAATGTGCACATGATAACGTGCAATTGAAAGTGCACAAAAGTGACCTCTTTAAAGTATGGGAAACTTTAAGACACTGAATGAGTATCAACGTGCCTTTTATGGATTTATGATAAGGCCACTGGTGTTTCGTATTTACTGGTTACACACACTTCCTGTGAAAATAGTGAGTCATTTGTACTCTTGTAGTTTACAACAACGTGCAAGTGTCACACAATCTGTAAGAAGTCATCTAGCAAAAAATAGCTATTTATTCCAAAATGATAAGGTTTAGTTTTCTTCATGAAGTACAAAATAATCTAAGTAATATGCACCATAAACGGTTTTATAAAAAAATGAAAATAAGGGTCCTTAAAACTTTTGCTATGTGTATGTAAAAACCTAATGGAGGAAGCCAAGGTTTCAAAATCCTGATGAACCATCCAGGATCTGGATCAATGAATAAGTACATTCTTCATGTAGGAGAGAATGAACACTCAATGACTTAATCACAAGATGTCAAAGACGAGGATGTCGGTCCTGCCACGACTGCTGACAATAGCTATTTGCCATAATAACATCATCTTGTTTTTTTCACTGAGTATTTGAATAAGCAAGGCATCTAAAAACAAACCAGCCAGATGAACAAGTAGCTGATGTGGCAGGTGAAATAACTGCTTTATGAGTGGGACCATGGCTGGTGAGTATCTCACGTGTGTGGCAGCCCCAGGGAAGAAAAAAAGAGCGAAAACTGCCGCTTGGGATATGACTAGAACAGCAAACGTTCCTGCATGTCAAAAACATCAACAAACCCATGCTGTTGTTTTCACCATGGTGTTAACAGAATTACATGTTGCAACCACAATGTCAGTCTGGATTATTTATCCAGTATAATGGCTGTGTGTAATTTATATACAGACTTAAAATAAAATGTTACTTACATAATAGAAGTGTTAACATTTAAATAATCTAGAAACCCGGCTTTAGACTGAACTAAAACTTCTCATATTTTTTTAAAGGTTAGCTAGGCTAGCCTGCTTTTATCTGACTATAAAAGTCATCATCCAGCACCTATAAAGCATTTTGATGAATAATATTGAAATATTAAAAATGTAAATGTAAAAATACCAGTTTTGGTATCTTTACAAAGCCTACTCTGTATTTCATTGCAGTCACATTTGGGAAAGAGTCAAATCAGAAGTGTTAATTAACCTCAGGTCATACACGACCACAAGAGCTAAAAAAGAAGAAGGCCTCATTAGGACGGCTTCCATTAAAATAGCCAGAGGCTCCTGAACTTCTAACCCATTGTAAGTATTAAAAAAATGTTAGAACACTGCATGAGAATCTCAAAGAGCAAAGCAAGGCAAATAAACAAACTCTGATGAGCTGATATAACGCAAGGCTCTTTCTCCTCTGTTGGTTTTCAAGCACCCCCAAATTGAAAGGATGCTGTGTCGTTAAACTGCCTCTGTAACAAACCACAGGTTTTTACTTTCAGCTAACAGAGGGAGAATTTCTGCAGCTGTCAGCCTTGAGGTTTGTGTCTGTCGGTAATATCATCTATATGTCCCCCTCACCTATATAAACAAGTCCTAGGTTAGTCTCCTCAATATATAAACACAGGATACCACAGACCTTAAACGCAACATTTTTAACATCTGCACAACAATCCATATCTATAGTGAGCTGTTATATGTCAGACACAAATTAATCAATCTTTGTCGGATAGTTAAAATGGAGTAGCAAGTAGTGATGAACATTCACTGTAATTTCTATTTACAGGCGGCATACAAATTCAGAATGTCCAGGTGCTGGACTGAATGTTTGTATTTAGGTGATCAGGTTTACATTTGTGGTACGAGTAGTGTATCTCAAATGCATCTCAGCCGCCGTTAGCTGTGTGGAAAGTTAAAGGGGCAGAAAGCAGTATGCTGTAATACAATCCTGGACCCCACCAGCAATCCTCTTGTGACTACTTTAGCTTTAGTTTATGTATTTAAATAGATATCTGCATGCATCTGCAGCTAATAGTACGCTGTTCGATGATGTCAGTCCCTTATTTCCCTGTGCTAAATTAATAATGACATGCAAACCTCTCAGACAAAATGTTTAAGTTCCTCCTGCAAACCTCACCGCCACCTCACAGTGCCTACACAAACTGAATGATGAAAAAAAACTTTGTCAGAATAAATATCTTCAATATAGACCACAAAGATTCTATAAAATTACCATTAAAGCCTTTAATATTATTTCATCTCCTCTCCCTTGTTACCCACAGCAGATTTAGATTTGTTCATTGCTCAACATAAATTGCTGATGGGTCTCATACAGACGTGCAGATTTGAAAATAAAGATGTAAGTTGTGAACCTGCTCAAGGCACAAGGTTATGTACGTTTTAAGAGTGACAGATATCAATCTAATCTTTGTAACTGTGTCTTAAAATACACCGTGTTCCTTTCAACTCTTTCACACATATTTTCACGTTAAGATGATATCATCATGTTTAATCATTTCCTTTGAAAAAAACACCACATGAACCAGAAGAGGGGGGAGGATCTTTAGTCCTCCTTTTGCATCTGCACCCTGTTCGCATGCATGCATACAAACACACACAAGCACACGCACACACACACACACACACACCACACACACACACACACACACACACACACACACACACACACCACACACCACACATACGCACACACACTAAGTGTCAGAAATATTTGTTTCTTAGAATTTGCTCTTGCCCTCAACTTCCTTACTTCCCCCACATTTCCCCCTGATGTCTCTGTACTGAGAAGTGTTGTTGCCCACATGGCCATAGTTTGTTTGTTGGGTAGTGTTTTGTTTTTCTTTCATCATGGAACCTTCCTGCTACACACACACACACACACACACACACACACACACAGACACGCGCACACACACACACTCAGACACGCGCACACACACATACACACACACACACACACACACACACACACACACACACACACACACACACACACACACACACACACACACACACACGCAGCATACTAAAAAGACAGGGTCTGTGAGTTTAGCAGAAAGACGACACACACCTTGAAGACAACAACTTGGAACACACAAGCAATCAAGATGATGAGGATGAAGAAGCCAGTTATTCTGGTGACCTGTGTCCTGCTTCTCTCCACGCTCACTGTGTTGGCATCTGAAAGTAAGCAGACTGAATTCAACTCATTGAATGATTTAAATGATTTGCCCATGTTATGAGCCTTTTCATAATCTGTACTGTAGGGAAAAATTCAGTGTTCGCCGTGATGAGAGGTCCAGATATTATAATCAATGATATGGTTTTTTACATTTGGGGAAAAACAAGTGACTAAAAAAGGCTTCTTTGACCCGCAACACTTGAATTTCTATTATCTTTTAAATCAAATCCTCATAAACAGTCAGTTTATTTAAAGTAAAAGATTGCAGATTTATGTTTTTGACTGCTACATAAAGAGCCTTTAAATGACTATGTTGTTTTTGTTACTAAGTAAAATGTCAACTCTCACAGCATTAACTGAGAGTTCTCAGAGGGTGAAAAAATAAAATGAAAAATGTTATGTTCCATTTTATGAAATCAGTCTTTTATGTTTATAAAATGTCTGTGTGTGTCTTGTTTTTCAGACACCTATGGTCCAGCTGTGTGCTGTTTTCAGTTTATCGAGAAAAAGCTGTCTAAAAACCGTGTGTTGACCTACAGATACACAAACAAACAATGTCCAAAGAAAGCTGTGATGTGAGTGTTGCCTCTTTTTGTTACCCTTCAAGTTTTGAAACGAAACACTTGAGTGTGTCAATGGAAAAAGTAAAAGACAAGTCGTTTTTTATTAGTTTCCGTATATTCACGCAAAGTAATTATGTATACACATGCAATGAATGTTACATATAAAAAATATAAAAAGGTGTTTATTATCCTATTACTACACTTTGTATATCATCAACCACCTGCGTCTCTTTTTCAGTTTTACGATGAAGAATGGCAAAGAATTCTGTGCCAACCCGGCTGAACAGTGGGTGAAGGACATCATCTCAGGAAAACTGACCAAAATGAATGCTTAAAAAGTGAACTGACCTTTTTATCACGTAACTTTACATCTCATACGCATTAAAGCAGCAGTGCTTGTGTAGCATAACCCACTATACAGTATATCTTCAAATTCTTTCTTTTTCTAATCAACATTTTTCTACTGGCTTAAAAAGTAAATGCAAATATCTCCACCAATGATGTGTCTTGGGTTGACCTATAATCTTTATTTGACAGTTAATCATGCTTACTAACATTGTTTTCTGATGTCCTATTAAAAAACTCAAAGTGAAATGCTTTTTTATTGGTGAATAAATCTAATATCGACGCATATCTGTGATACAATTAGTCGATACCGATAGTCACTTGATACGGAAATAACGGCCGAAATTATCGGCTGGATGATAAATGGGTTGGGCTCTAGTCTTTTTTTCTTATCTGTTTCCTCATTAAAAGAAGACATTAATGATAAAGATCTTAACTCCACATTGTGCAATTTCTGTACGACCTAGTCCTGATAGTCACACAAGAGAATTGATGTGGTTTCTAGCTTTCACAGGAAACTCTGATCTGCACCACAAATATTTGGTAGTGAAATACAGAGAAATATAACGAGATATTTTATAAAGTGAGTATGTCAGACTTTTGTCAATGATGAAATGATCTGTCCGTGTCTGTTGCGCTTCATTAGCAGTCAGGTCTGGGGTGCATCTGTGTGACCAGCAGATGTCACTGTTTGCTGCTTTTCATATTCTCTGAGTTGATTTGGTTTTTCAAAAGGCAGGTTTTTATTTTTTGTAGTTAAACTGCAGCAAAATTTGATTACTTATTAAATCCAGAGTGTTTACATTTGAGATCAACGCCTCAGTGAGGATGGGTGATGAAGTATCCTTTTTATTTTTTTCAGTCAGATATGGGGGTGATGATGCACAGAAATATGACCTCATAAAACCCCCGCAGATGGCCACTGTCTGGGGTTAGCGCTAAAAATAAACACACTTGAGTGGAAAATATGTGAGTCACTTTAAAGCGGTTGCACAAGTTTACTCACAGTGATCTTACTTTATATTTCCAAACAAACTGAGCTGAAAAGCTCTTCCTGCCCCAGAATAACGCCTCAAGTGTTGCCTTTATGGTGATGACCCACCTTTTTGTTGATTTCAGACCCAGATTTGTATTTCTTAAGTCTGCCCTACTTCATTCATATGTGTCTGTGTGCATGTGTACACAAACTTTCAGTTCAATTACTCAATTTGAACTCGACAGAAAAGCTGCACTTGCACTCACACTACAGGTGACCCGTCACAGCAGACAGTCTGATTAGATTTGAGAGGACCTCTCTGCATACATTTGTATATTAATGAGTGAAAAAATCAGGCAGGAGATGGTTCAGCGAGTGCTTCTTGTTTGCAATTGCAATGATTATCAACACGCATTTTCATTTAAAATAATCATGAAAGGACACCAGATCTCCCTATCAACTCACTTGAGTGGTTTGGATTCGGATTTAGAGAGAGCAATCGGTTATTAACCATGAAGTCTCCTATTAAATTTGCATGTGATTACGTGAGTCGGTCAGCATGACCTACCTGTGGAGGAAAGAAATGGGGACAAAAGCAAGCAGAATAAGGTTTTACAGATGCCGCCAGGAGATGATGACGTGTTCAGATACTTTCAAATAGTCGTGTAAAAATGCACCAGGGGGGGGGATGTTGTGTTCTGATACAACGATCAATCTGTTGCTTTTAAATGTTATAGTCAGCCAGTTAAGCTAAAGGTAAATACACAGAGGGCCAGGTCCACCCGAAGGCAAAGGGTCACATGCTAAATTGAAGTTGTTCAGAAATGAATGAAGGGGCTTTAATTAAATATCAGTTTGTTTGACCTACTTGGGCTAATTACTTACAAACTCCATGAACTCAACATCTTAATCTGAAGAGTGACCAGTGAGAACACAGTGCACAGGTAAAGGCTATTGAGAAGTGAAATAACATGCTTTGTTCATTTTCATTCAGACACATTAACGCTACAGCAGGCCTGTTCTGAAAACACAAGGAGAAGAAGCTAAAGATATTTGTGTTACGGTTTAGATGGTAAAATTAAAACGTTGTCAGAAAATGGATCCTTAAGTTAACCTACAATTTTTTTTAAACTTGTGTGAGAAGCTTTCGCTTTGTGTCCATCTTGGCGCCCCCTGTGGTCGATACTGTACCTCTGCTTTCTTTTAACAGTCGAACATATCCTTCACTGTCAATATTTGCTGTAGAAAATGTAAAGAGAGGCTGTTCTGGAATGATTTGCACCTCATTACGTCCCTGCTCTGTTCAGCTGCCATGTTTGTGCAATAGTTAAAAGTAGAGTAATACCACCTGGAATGTAGTCGAGTGAGAGTTTAACATCATTTAAAAATACTCATAAAATACAAATTAAAAAAAAGTGTATGTAAGTACATTACACCACATAGAGGACGATTGCTTCTTGTGCAGACATGTGTTTCTTTCTGTCATGTAAGCTATATTTTATTTTCTATGTATTATTACATATGATCACTGAAGCCATGAAATAAGACAAATCTTGAATGTTAATATTGTTAGTGAGAGCACAGAGACTGTTACTGCTTTCATTCAGGTTATGAGGGATTTCAAAAACAAGGTTTTTTCTACCAACTTGTTTTTGTTTGCTGAGGTTTCAAGTGATGTTGTAAGTTGACATATAAGCTTTTGGACAGTTTATCGTATTCTAGCTTGTGCTTGTTTCATTGAGAAAGGCAAACTTTGATGTTGGCACAATTTCTGCAATACATAATTCTGATCATTACACAGTAGAGAAATAAAATAATTAGAGTAATCAGATTTTTGTCATTAATATACATTCATTTTATTCAATAAGCAGCGTTAATCAAAAAAAAGATGAATGAAAAAACAACAGGCTGTGATACATTTGTGCCGAGAACCTACAGAAGAAGAGAAGAGACGGGAGTGTGAAAGCCACACCGTCAGTGTGTGTGTGTGTGTGTGTGTGTGTGTGTGTGTGTGTGTGTGTGTGTGTGTGTGTGTGTGTGTGTGTGTGTGTGTGTGTGTGTGTGTGTGTATATATATATATATATATATAGATAACCAGTGTGTGATGTCAGCTTTTCCTGACAGATGGGATCAACATAAATTAAGCCCCTTTAGAAAACGTGTGTGTGTGTGTGTGTGTGTGTGTGTGTGTGTGTGTGTGTGTGTGTGTGTGTGTGTGTGTGTGAGTGTGTGTTCAAAAGCAATAAGGCAGACAGGATGGAGAAATAGGTTCACAAATTTGAATGTGCATGAATATTTTTAGCTGTTAAAGTGTGACAGGATGTGCCTGGACCAACGCCTGGCACTCAAACACTGACACAACCAAACACTCGCACAAACACACGTACACACAATTAGATGGTGATTGTGGTCAAGAGCAGAAAGGGAAATTAAACTGTTGTTTTACTGTCCAATGCTTATCATTAATCACTAACCTAACGGCGTACATTTCTGACTCATGCTGCAACTCTCAAAACCCAAATGTCATTTTAAGACGGTGGCCATGGAACTATCCTTGTCATGTTGTCATGGTAATAAGCATCAGCACATTACCCTTCATGCCTTTGGCTGAACAATCTGATCATGATTGAGTTCAGCTGTCCAGATGTATCAAACTAGTCCTGCATTGATTTGCATGACAGAAAAAATAATAATAATAAAGCCGTGCACAGATATCTTGTGAGTTTGGGAGTAGATTGAAAGGAAATTAAAATTGGGAATAGAACAGAAGTTATGAGATGATAGAGAGACAAGAAGAGGAGAAAGAAAGGGGGGGAACAAAAAACCAAGAGATCAATATCGTCCGTATAATTACCTACAGCTTCCTGGGTTGCTAGGAGACCAAACAGAAAGGGACAGAGAAGAAGAGACAGAGAGGGAGAGAGAGACAGATATACATACATGTGGTGAATAATTCCAAGGTCGCACTCATTTTTATTGTGTTTCTTAATGCCACTCAGACAGAGGGGAGACGAGGTCAGGAGGAGGGTGAAGACAAGAGGGAGGAAGAGGGAATGAAATGAAAGTCAAAGGAAGAGGAAGGGGAAAGGGAAGAAATGGAGGGTGGAGGCGAGGGAGAGAAAGATCTGTCTGGTCTTTAGGGGTTTGGGTTGCATGAATAATTACTGCTATATCGACGCAGCCTGTCTCTTCTTCTTCATCCTAAACTGTCCCTCTGTCAGTTTTAATCCTCCTAGTCCCATGTCCACTTCAGCTTAGCTTGCTTTTAGTTTCTCCTTCCCCTCTAGATTGTTTCTATCTTTTCTGCCTTCTTTCAAAACTACCTTTCTCCTTGCTTTTGGATTTCTCAATTCTTTTTTGCACAAGTCGTTCTTCGTACATCAAAATATCTTTAAATCTGCTGCTTATATATTCCTGCAGATGAGCAATAAGCTTGGGAACATGATTTATAATTCCCCATTACCAAGCATTAGTTGTGGTGATCGATAATTTAAGAATTAGGGCACTTGCAAATGACTCTATCTGTATCTTTAGGCAGTTACCTCTTCTAAATTGATATATATATATATATATATATATATATATATATAATTAATATATAATGAAATATGATCTATTTGAAATAGGTAAGCACAAATGTTCAATGATCCTCTTCATTTCAAACAGATAGAAGAAAAATGGGCAAACAAGTTGTGTGTATTTAGTCATTAAGTGCATGAATCCATGATGAATAACAACTTGTGCAATGTGATTTCATTGAACCATAACTTGGGAACTTTGGTGTGCTGTTCCTTTAAATGCAGGGAGAGGGAGGGAGAAAGAGAAGCAGAGACGGAGGGAGACAGAGAGAGAGGGAGACATAATAGAAAAAAAGAGGGGATGTGGTGTGCACTCTGTCTTGGAGAGGTGTGTGGGTTGACTGTTATTTGACAGAATGAAAGGAAAGTGACTTCTGAAGAAATTATTGACAGCAGCAGCATCTTTCGAGGATTTTTTGCCCCCTGAAGAAGATCATCAAACAACTGAGAGGAGGAGGAGCTGTTGATGATTTTACGTTGCTTGAGAGCATGTTGGGCTTGGATTTAAAGGGCAGATACCACTGACCTCTCCTGAGACAGTGTTGGCACTTTTAAGGATGATTGAAAAGTGTTGAAGAGATTTTTTTTTTTTTAAAGCAACATTTCTTGTTTACTTGCTCGTACTTGAACTCTTACTTTGAAATGAATTTAAATCTCTCCAAGAGATAATTGATCTCCAAGAAAAACTTCAATGTTGCTGAATATTTCAGGATCAGTTTAAAGATTTTTGAAGTTGACTTTTGGGGATATTAACAAATATTTCACTGTATTCCTTTTTTAGGTGGATAGTCATTTGCACAGCATTGTAATTTATGTGCAAATAGTTGAGATGTTCCATTGATTTTTGTTCTGATTCTCAGAGGGCAAATAACCAACAGATCAACAAGTGATTTAGGTCTTTAAACATAAAACAAGAGGAGTGTAAGAAAGAAAGAGCGATGGCACAGAAAGAAGGAGGAACAGAGCAAGCGCGTATTAAAAGAGGGGACAATCCCGGGGCCAAAGCCACTATGGTAGGGGCCCCTACGGCTGGCGGGGGAATTGTGGTGGAGGTCAGGGAGAAGAAGGGACCTCTGCGGGCTGCAATTCCCACAATGCCTTTCCCTGTGGCTGTCATCTGTCTGTTTCTTAACACCTTCATACCTGGACTTGGTAAGTTGTATATGGCAGTCTTTCTTTTTGTATTTAAAACTACATTTCTTGTTTATGTTTGTTTAATTGTGCAAAAATCCTGAGATGTTAGAAGAAGATGAGCCCAAATAAACAAACCGAGGAGCAAACACGAGGCAGAGTTCACATGCAGAGTTTAAATTTAGAGTAACTAGAGACAGAGCTGTAGTGAGTTTTTAGCCGGGGGTGCAGGCCGGCATGCCAGCAGATAATATAAAAAAACATAAAGACAAACGCTTAAATAAATAGCAGAGAGGTAGGAAGAGTGGCCATTGAAGTTCCATGGATAGTTTACAGGCTGTAAACATGAGTCTAGTCATTTTATTTCTCCACCATGGGAAAGGCATATATACTTTTCACCCTTCATCTGCTTATGGGAGACCCTGTTGACACCCTGTGTTTAAATAAGAGCATCAAGGTGTAAACACACACAGCGTCAGTCTGCCTGGTGTTAATAGACACAGTAAATGTGGTGGTAAGATGTAAATGGAGGATGATCATCATCACCTTAGGTATAAAAATGCATCAGAAGGTGCTATCATTAAGGACAGTGACATCACCACTCTGGGTGGGTACATCATCGTAGCAGGTAATGTAGTGAAATCATCACTAAGGATGTAATCTATATTTGGGTCTTTATCATGGGTAGAAGAAACATTTGAACAGTATAGTCCTGAGATGTCAACTCAGTAGCTTGTCATGCATTTTACAAGACATTTCAGTTATATCAGGAAAAGTTAACATGTCTTTCTCAGATTCTACTCATCTTTTTTCTGTCTCTTAAATGATACCCAAGATTTAGCATTTTCACATTTTTTTCTGGTATCTTTTCAAAGAGTATCATTAGCTGTTATCATCCTGCTGTGATAAGTGTTGTCCTGCGTTGCCTTCATTAACATCAGAGAATATGCTCCACTCTGCAGCAAAGATACAGGGTAAATTGTGCAATCATTAAAACAGATTCTTAGTATTAAGTAGAAAGCGGCCAATAGAAAGACATGGTTTTGTTTTGACATAGACTAAGTGAAAAACCAATGTGAAAGAACCTTTAACCTGTGATTCTTCTAATGCCCAGCTGGGGGCGACTCCATCAGAAAGAAGTCAGACTGTTGTGAGATGGGGAATTGACCCTTTTTCCCATTTGATTTACTACATCAGGAAATATTATCCATTAGCCGTCTTCAATATACATGATGTTGATTTTGTGAATGGTGGTCCAATTTAGAGTTAAATTGAGGATAATCCCGGATATTCTACGGGGTAAAAAGATAACAGATAATGTCTTTGAGCTGGACTTTATTAAATCGAGATAGGTTTCTGATGTTTTTACCATCTTGTAAATGAATCATTTGTTCCATTCAATTTTGTATACAATTTGAAGTGAATTGCCCTAACTTGTTGAAACTGAGTGTACCTTCAGCCAATTCAGATAACTTGATTTTACAAAACCTGACACAATTTTAGCTATACACAGGTGCTACAAGCACTTAATAAAATAATATATCTACGTCTGAGTAGTGCTTAGTCTGACTCACTATAAACTTTGACTCTTCACATGTATATAAAGATCTTTCAATCTCAAGATACATATATTCTTTGTACTCATGTCTTATTCCTTTACCATGTGTATTTTAATGCAGATCCAGTTGGGAACATTTTCTATTTTTAGAACATCTTTTCCTTCTGTACCTCTCCATCTATTTTCCAGAGCTTAACCCTGCCATTTGGATAGATTTCTGCATGTGTGTGTTAATTCTACTGTATCATCCCGTGTGTCTGTATGTTACAAATAGACATACGTGCGCATACCTACAGCGCCGCATGAGCCTCATCTGTTGATCCTCACTTTAAACATGACAAAGCCAGACAGGCTTACTCTATGTATACAGTATATCCACTGTCTTTCAAATCTCAGTCTGTAAAGACTCACATGGAAGTTACATACAAAGGTTAAGTCCAAACTCACACATCTCCATGCACGCAAACATTCACACACAGGCTTTCACTGATGAGCGCTGTGATTTAGTTTGAATGAGGCAGCACACATTTTATCAAGCTATAAAAAGTAGAAATGAATGAAAATAAGAAGTAAATAAAATTAAACACAGACGCACAACCAGTTTCTCTTACTTTTTCATACATTTGGCAGTCTGTGTGTTTTAACCTCTCGTAAACGTCAAATCAATGTGTGCTTGAAAATATCGAAAACATGGATAGAAAACAAGGTCAGTGAAAACTGTGACCTAAATAATCAGTTTTACCTCCATTTAGCCTGAAAGTGTCCCACAGACGACGCCGAAAAAATGTGTACCTGGCACACATTGAAAGCATAAAGACAACACCTCATCTAGCGCTCTGTGTGTGTGTGTGTGTGTGTGTGTGTGTGTGTGTGTGTGTGTGTGTTTTTGATGCCCTGAATGCTTTGACATTTCATTGAATAGCTGCAGCTAGTTGCCATGACAACGCTGACTTAAATGAACACAATACACTCGTGTGTGTGTGTGTGTGTGTGTGTGTGTGTGTGTGTGTGTGTGTTTGTATCAATGCCATTTGGGTCTAATTGAGTGAGCCTGCAAATCGCGGCTTGTTCTATTCATCCTGTGGCCAAAATAAATGTGTAATTGAATTTGGACAAGAGTCAGAGGAGAACATGATTTCCTGCAGACAGGACAGGAAAGGAAACACAGGTGTGTTAATAAACACACACACGCGCATGCACACACGCACGCACACACGCACGCACACACATATTTGTCCTTTCGTTAACAACAGCCAGGAGCAGAGAAGTTAACCAGCAGAGAGATGCAGAAGCAGAGTTGGATGGATGAAAGTTAAAATGCCTGTTTGTCAAAGAGAAGTTGCCTGTAAGAATATTTGTTTTTAAACTTTGGACAGAGCCAAGCTAGCTGTTTATGTTCTAAATAACATAAGCCCCCTCACATATAGTTTGGTAAGTTTATATAAAATATGTGTTGTTTTCCTTTCACATAGTAATGATATATTTCCCATGTGCTTTCTTGTGACAAGAATAAGTCTCCTTCAAACTGTAGACAGCAAAATAAAAAAAAAAAGGTTATTATCAACCACCGACTGTATACCAAGGGTCCACGTACTCCACCCAGAGCTCTATGGAGAGATGTTGGATTTAATCTGACAAGCTCCCTCTCTCGAGTCCACTTCACATTAATCCTGCCTGACGTTTTGTCGCCAGAACCTCAGATTGTCTCCACAATGAAATGAAGGCAGACTTTAAATCTATTAGTGAGTCTCACTGAAGCTGTTAGCCATAAACACTGAAAGAGTTGTTAGCTAAGCTTGAACATAATAAATTAGAATATTGAAAAGGGTTAGACTGTGACACTGAGCGTTAAAGAGAATATATGATTTAGCACTAAGTGTGAGAATGTGGGTGGCAGATGTCAAGCGAGTTTGTGAGAGTATAAGGTTGAGGTGTGATATTGGAGACACTGGGGTCAGTTTCACATTGAAAGCTTGCCTCTGGATGTTTGAGAGCGCATTGTGCTTTGGGGACTCGTTTTTTTTTGCGGACTGAAAGGACTCTAGAAAGCATTTGGGGTTTTTAAGAATAGCATGTTACCCCAATTTGAAACTTGTTTTGTGTAGCCTTGAAATAACCATCCATCCTCTCAGACCAGACTCCGATCAACACTTCAGCCGTTGCACATATTGTGACTGGCTGTTTAAGGCTGCTAAAGCCCTCTATACTGCACAAACATATTGCTGACCTAATTGCTGCTGCTGAGAGGTGTTACATCCATAAGCAATTACATACAAACACTCTTGTGTTCTGAGAAGGTCAAATGTCTCTCATGACGTGTTCTGTAACATCTTTGTTTTTGATGCTGAAGACAGTTTTTAATCCTGGAGACAGGCTGTGAATTCAACCTGGCGATTTTATTGTGAAGAACTGTTGTAATAGTCTCTTGATGTAAATATCACTGAGCAAGAATATGAATGGTTTGATGTTGATATTTGGCAGTCTTGAGCATTCATATACCGTGTGTTATTGGGTTTTGATTGGCAGGTTTACAGCTGGTTAAAAGTTGAAACGTGAAGCCTGATGTTTAACTCACCATACACAGCAGGAAGGTCAGAGACTGTTCTTTTTCAAATATGACAATTTTGGTAACTGTAATTGGTTTGCATGTACTGGGCTTCACAATCAAGTTACGGTTAGTAAATGGAAACAGATGGAGTATTCGGCTTTCAAAATTAATTTAAAGGCAGGGTTCTTGATTTTGAAAGTAGCATCCATCCCCTCCCCTCTGTGGTCCCTCAAAAGCCACGCCCCCTCACAATGGCACAAGCACCATTGGTCCAGAAGCGGAGCTCAGCTCATGCTTTGAGTGTGGGCTCGTGCACGCATGGTGTAGAGAACGAGCAGGGAGACGGGGACGCATGATTGGTTCATTCATATGGCACCTCGTGGCAGACATTGGTCTAAGTTTTACAGGCTTACAACTGCTACAGATGACAGATTTTCTTTGTTCCTTTTTCAGAGCACACAAGTTATTAATTCCTATCAGGACCTAAAGACAATTTTAACCAAAATATTAAAAAGTGTATTTGGAGAAAACTTTTGTTTTGTTAATGAGCATGTATAGTCTAGCCTCAGAATCCCCCAGGAGGAGCTGGAAACTGTTGCTGGGGAGAGGGAAGTCTGGGTTGACTTACTGCGCCTGCTGCCACTGCGACCCGACCTTGGATAAGCAGAGGATTTTTGAATCAGTGAAATTCACTATCATATTTTTCTTTTAACTTTTCTCAAACTTCCTTACATTAGATCACATCTCTCTTTCTCAGCTTCTTGTTTTAGTCTTTCCCCCTGTATTTGTTCGCTCACACCTTTGTTTCTTTATGTCTTTCACACTCTTACACTCTGTCATTAACCTCCCACACGACCAGTGGGTGCTTTGTAGAGCTCTCTGTGTAATTATAGTCATTAGTCTGTTTGATATCCCGGCATACACACATGCACACACACGTTATTTCCCACATGCGACATACAGGAGGAGATCCAAGAGCTTTCAACACATGGAGGATTGTTAGAGAAGATTTCTGGAACCGAGAAGATTAAAGATTTTTTATTGCCACAGAGAATTGTTCAGCTCGTATATCTTTCTTGCTAATTATCCAGCTGAGCACATTCACACACAGCGTGCTATCCAAGATGAAATTATTTAAAAAACGTAGTTAGCGGTGTTTCTTTCTACTCAAAGAGCACACACATGCCACATACTCTAAAAGAAATTACGTTTGTATTGACCGACTATGAGTTGGGGCTGCTACCCAAAGTGCAGTAAAGCCAATAAATAAAATAAATAAAAAAAATCGACATTCACATACAGAACTCGGCACTTTGGCACTGTCATTGTTTTCAAAACTTTCCATCTTCATGCACCTAAAACTCTGTTGTTGTATTAAAAAACAGCCAAAACTCAACAAAAGATCGTTTTTGGATGAAATCGTTATCATGTAGCAGGGCCTTAAACTAGTCACTGGTAGTGACGATCTCTCCGGCCCTCTTAATTTAGCAATTTAGATAAGGTTTTTTTTCCACCACTCTCATCGATGTTTGCGTTATAAGAAAGAAGATATTTTAAGCCCAAAAAAAAGTTACAAACAAACAAACATCTGCGGCATTTTATGTAGCTTCATACAACAAATGAGGTTCCCCAAAGTAGGGGAGGAAGTAATTCTGACGGATGTCAGGAGTCGATACCCTTGCATGGTGTAAGTTTATTCCAATGAACCACACAGAAAGTGAACATTGGTCACCTCCTGAGACCAGAGCTTTTGTTTGGTATGCATTTTAAATCTCTCCAAACGATTTGGGATTATTATTAGGACCTGGTAAGAATATAACCTAACCAGTGTCTTCGAACAGGAAGCAGTTTTCAAACAAAAAAATCTGTCCTTACATGGGGACAATCTGTTTATGTCACTGTATTTTACATTGTGTTACAAGGCATTACAACTATTTCAATGCATAAACATGGCTGAGTAAAATTTAAAAAAAAAACAAGGAAATAGTTTCATGAAGGATTTTAGTTCCTAAAGATGGCTCTTCAAAAACAAATACTCGGAATGTTTTTTTTTTATCTGCAGGAACAACACTTTGCGTAATATATTTTAGACAATGGCTTGTGTCTGTCATTCAGTGGGTATGGGGTAGGTCAGGAATGATGTCTGTAAGTTAGCTATAGTGGCTGTCTGTAGGTCAGCAATGGCTTCTTTCAGTAAGTCAAGTATGGTATCAGTCCCCCATTTTTTGTTTTTTGTTAATTTGCTTTTGTGTCCACAACATGGCGGACAAAGTGTCCATGAATGAGGACAACTGGATTAAGGTTAGCAGAATAAGGTATTATGTTGCATAAAACCCCAAATGTAATGAACTCACATTAGGACATTGGGTGTCAGGAGTTTAATGATGTTGAGCTGTGCTGATAACAAATTACAGTAAGTTGTACTGAAAGTGATCAAGTCATCAAATATACTGCTAAATTAATGCGTCTATCATGACTTGTTTATGTGAATGGTTTTTTAAAAAAGAAGTCATATAAAAACTGAAAGTAGCTCAGACTGTGTGGATCATTTTCAAATGGAAAAGATGGATGTGAGGTGTAACCATTCAGCCACCAGCTTGCTGTCAATCATGGCTCATGTGTGGAGGTGGGAAGCTCCACCGGCAGCCAGAGCATCTGCTGGTGGGCGTGGCCTCTGTGACCTGAACATTTCTCTGTCTGATCGGACCATATCGGCTCTGGGTTGGAATCTGATTTTAGCCCACTGTTGCTCTTTCTGTGAAGTGCTTTTAAAATGAGCAGTGCATTAAATCTTGAGAAGGGAAAAGCAAATTGTCCTACACATGCAGACGCTGCCTTTTTAAACCTTTACAGAGCTGCTTACTATTCTGGGATTGTGCTTGTACTAATGTTTGACCTAATGGAAGCCATATACGATAAGGCCAGCGCAGGCCATGTGAGAGTAAATATTATGGCATACATTCAGATCTGTCAGTGATTAGGGGACAAACTGAGTAAACATCTGGAATGCCTGCAATAGAAAGCTTTATGGTTGATTAGACAGAGAGACAACTAAGCCAAGAGTTGAGGAGAAAAGAAAAACAGATTCAAAGAGTGAAAAAGGGAGAAAGAAACTTTTATTTGACATGACTTTGGCTTTTATAGCCTGAGAGAAACAAGTTGCAGCTGGCAGCCCGGCGGAACTTGTCCCCCAACTTGCTTGGCCTTCTTTGTTTTTTTAATTCCTCCAAAGTGACAAGAGTTGGAGCTTGCAGAAAGAATAGAACCAGAGCCATAATGAACACAATGCCCACCAGTTACTGTATGTCTTGTGTCACATTCAGTGTTTGCACTACTCAGTTCAGTACTTTCAAAAGGACACATAAGGCCTGCAGAGAGCAAGGTGAAACATCAGCAGAGTCTGTGAATAATTTAGGATTTTGTACAAAAGAAAAATGTCTTTGCCTTTAAACTGAATCTTATATTTCTTTCAAGTAACCTCCCTTACATTGTCTCACATGCAAACATACATTTGTTGTAGTGTAGAGTTTGTTGGCAACATTTTGGTACTAGACCTTCATCAGGCAAACAGACACACTAAGTTTGATGGACACACTTCTCTCCTACGCACTTTTCTTGTGAAATAGATGTGCAAAGTAATTTTCTATGTTCAATAATGATTCATATATATATATAGAGAGAGAGAGGCAATTGGAAACAGGATAGAAAAACATACTTATTCCAATACAGTTTATCTTGACCAGTCAGATTAGTGAAGTTTATATCAACAATAAATGCCATAATACAGATTCCTTCAGGGCTTTTTAAAGGCTCTTAAACAGATTCTGGAGATATTGAAAGTATACAGGCATGTCTCATGAATGCTTTGGAGTAGTGGTGTGCAAAACTGACCAAATTGCTAAACGTTTACACTTTAGGCCGAGAAACTTAAAAAATATATATATATTTCAGGAAGGCTGAAACAGCAATAGAAGTACATAGTCAGTGACTCAATGAAAAATGGCATAGAAGAAACTCGAGGCTGTTGTATTCTCAGTTGAGAAAGAGCAAACCTTAGTTTGTCTTAACAAGCTGTACGTCTACAGTATGATAAAACTCATGTTACATATATCTTGTTCCTGAGAAGACGTTGATATGGAAACAATCAGGGATTAAATAATGGAATTTGTCTACTTCACTGAGTGACACATAAGCACTCACACGATGCATTCAATGTGCAATGAACAGTCTTGAAGGTCGAGTTAACATGTAACAGTGTCAAGTAGCTAGTCTTCAATCTGCCTCACTGTACTGAAGTATTAGTGGCAAAGGAAGATTGTATTTTGTTTCTCATATTTTTATCATGGCTGTTACACGACTACATTTTAAACACGATGAATTGCAGAATTTCAATTATTAATTTCAATTAGTCACATTTGAAATTCCATTATTATGCATAAAAAAATAAAAAACATGGTTCCATCCTTGGGGAGTTACTTCCGGGCAAGAGGGAAAATGGTGGGAAATAGAGTGTGTTTAACCTCCACTGTGTTCATTTTTTTTTTTTCACCTTTGCTGATGGGCACCTTCAGTCCACACTGCCGACGTGAGCTTGGGTTCGTGATGATGATGCCTACTTTTGAGTGGATTTCAACAAAATCTGGAAGATACATCTGTCTGTTGAGACAATGATCATTTGGTGATCAACATGCCCTGCTAAACATTGACATGTTGAGTAGAATCAAAGTGAGCTATTTCATGCTGATGTTAGCATTTACCTCAAAATACTGCTTTGGAGGTTCTTTGTGTGAAGTTTTCGGTAGAGTCAAGCACCTTTCTCTTCTGGTATATTTCATATTTTTGCTGTGTGACGTCACTTCTACCTGACTGTTGAGACAGTCATTTGGCTGGCAGAAGTTCTGGTGGACCAGAAAAGTGATCCGTCAGTACCTTAAAGCTGGACCACGTGGGGAATTTGACTGTACATCACTAAAGTAAGGTTTCCTGAAACAGCTTCTGCCTCGAGGGATTCAAGGAAGGGTTGTTGTCCAACACATCAGTAGCTCCAAGTTATCATTCTCTCACAGCAGAATTCCCCTAATCACATTTTTCTTTAAATCCTTACAAAACCATTTATCGTTTTATTTGTTACTTTCACCATTATGACGATACCATCATAGGTAAATTAGAATCAAACGATTTCATTTCCATAATTTTGTTATTAAAATCATACAAATTATAATATTTGATATTTACTTTGATAATCTGCATTATTGTTCATGATTCCTGTAATAAAATCACACATAATCATTTAGAACTTTGTCAGTGTTTATTTAATGATTGAAGTGATCCTAAAGAACTTACTGACATTCTGATATGAAACTGAATAATTAATTAACTTATACAGTTAAAGTTAATTTCTTCCTTTAACAGGAAGTGGTACCCCGAGGAATCATTCGAATATAATATCTTAGTGAATTAATTACGCTACACAAGTCTATTTAAATGCAGTACTGTAGATGTATCAGCTATATAACTAATAGAGGCTGACGTGTCAGTCTGTTATGTAAGTAACCTTGTATTACATACTATATGCACATTGATGTATAAGTGTGACAACAGTGTGGTGCATGTGCAAGCAGATGGCGATAGATTATGGCGTAATAAAAAAAATAGTATTAATAACTATAAAAAGTATAACTTATAAATAAATTATAAAAGCAGAAAAATTGTGAAAAAATAAAATAGGTAGCCTATATATGTCCACATCAATATACTATAATACCAGCATTGAGAAGGGCATCTTTATAGCAAGTAAAAGAAAATAAAAACATTTTTTTTTTTTTTTGTGAATTGTGATGTTTTTGTTTTTAGTAACAGGATGACTTTCTTCTTTATGCCGGACAGGTACGTTCATCTCAGCCTTCACTGTGCTGTGTGGAGCTCGCAGTGAGCTGATCTCAGAGCGAGGGGTTTGCTGTGTGTTCTGGCTCAATGTGGCAGCGGCTCTCATCCAGATCCTGACAGCTGTCATCATGGTGGGATGGATCATGAGCATCTTCTGGGGAATGGACATGGTCATCCTGGCAAGTCAGTACATTTTATATCTTTTGCTTTCCTCCTTCATGCATGACATGCAGAAAGTTGCTTTGTTCAAACTCCATCCAGACAACTTTAAAAAAAATAAAAAAAAAAAAGTCACAATAGAGAAATGAAAGAAACTACAAACTACACCTGTTGTGTAAAAACTCATTCTGTAACATTGCTGCGATGAGACTTAAACAAACAAAGGTCATGGTTAGTGTCACCACAGCCTGTAGAGATGTGGGAACTAGGCCAATGCGACTCTTCACACAGTCTGTGACCTGTTTGTGGCTTTTCTCACATAGAAAAGCCAAGTAACAAGTAAGGTTTACTTTCCAAATCGTTTTTTTTTTTTTGTTGCAATCTCGAAGGAAGCATGCGAAATCCTGGAGGTATTTATAAAGAGAGTTGCACTTAGTTGCTCACATAAGTTAAAAAGGAAATATTTGAGTCAAGAATAGTTAAATAGCTTAATGAGAGAAGTTCAAACCCTGGTTCCCTTTTAACCAACACACAGTTAGGAAATCAAAGTGTGGAAATCATACCACCCAGAAATGGTTAATGCTAACAGGAAAGGTGTTTGGGTTTTAATGATTGTTTTCCAGACTGTAACACAAGTCAACAAAAAGATATATGAAAAGTCAGAAAGAACTAGCATTGGCTGCACAAAGACAAAGAGGTTGGGTAGTTTAAGCGTCTTCTCCTCAGGGATTGATGCATGAACAAGTGCCAACACACACGCGCGCGCACACACACACACACACACAAACAAACACAGTCACTGTTCAGTCATTGCACCGAGGCAGCCTTTGAATTACCACAGTGCTGTCTCCTTTCTTTCACGAGTGTGATTCTGTGAGTGAGGTAATTGCTGCCTGCCTGTGCAACCAAATGTTAGGACACACATTCCTGCAAGAATCTGTGTTTGTGTGTGTGAGGTGCAGTAATTGTGTTTGTGTGTGTGTGTGTGTGTGTGTGTGTGTGTGTGTGTGTGTGTGTGTGTGTGTGTGTGTTTGTGTGGGAGTGAGCATCCCCCTTGGTGTTTTTTTTGTTCGCTGCACCCTGCTGTTTCTCAGGCCTCTGGGCGCACGTCTAATTCAACTGTTGCTTCTTAAATCCATACGCCTGTTAGCGCGCGGTGGTAGCAGCACAATGAATATTAATACTGAACACAAAGGCCAAACTCTCAGGGTAAAAGCATGCAGGCTGTCTGCTTCAAAGATCAATTATTATTCAACTATTCATCATCACAATACATGCTTTTGTAGCTTTGGGAGTTGTGTGCATATTCAGCTATTCCCTCTTTCTCCATGCAATGAATCACTTTGATACTTTTGAACCGGTTTTCTCCTTCCCCTCTCTAACGAGCCTGTGTTGTTTTTGGTGAATTTATTGTCTCTCTCTTTATACCTCGATATTTAAAACAAACACCCCTCCATCTTTTATTTCTTTACCCTGCTCCCTCTCTTTCATTTCCCCATCCATCAGATGATTGGGGTATGATGATCTTCTTCCCACTAATCGCCTTACTTCTGCATCTCTTTCTCCATCTAATGATTGTTACTACTTGATCTATCCATGCTCTCTCTCTCTCTTTCACATTATTCCTCCCACTCCCTGCCCGCCTCCCAGTCTCCCTCTCTGCCACAGTTTTTTCATCTGATCCCATTTCTTTTTCTCCTCTCTATGTTCCTCCTTCCAACAAACGTAGGGTTGTGTTACCGTATTTGGGTTCATTTGATCGTTTCATTTATCTTATATAAAGAGCCTGTGAAAGGTTTTTCTTTTCCGTTGAGTGGCTACAAGATATCTGCCTCCTAAAGCTTGTTTCATGATATTCTAGTCCATTTCTGATAAAACTTGAAAATATCAAACGAAGAAGCTCATGGTTTTCTTCTCTAACTGAATCTCTTGTCTCTTCTCTCCCCCCTCTGTTCTTCTTCTTCGTGAACCAAAGTTTCTGATGGTAAGTATCTATTTTACTCGCTCACTGACTTTTAGAATTCATGTGATATAAATATAGAAATGTCAGGCTTTACTAAATTTAACACTGATGTTCAGTAAGTTGAAAAAGATAAGTTTGAACTAAGCACATTTCCCAGGCTTTAAGAATAATAATAGTTAAATAAACATTCGGGACTTTCCCACGATCTCTGGGCTGGTAAAAACAAACGTTTGGTATGTTCAGAAAAAATCTTAATCTCTCAAGCTTTAGAGTTCAATCTTGATGGCAGATTCAAACCCATAGCTGCTGCGTTGAGTACTGTAGCCTCTGTATATGGGACACGCAACATAACCGCTAGGCTATTATTTCTATGTTTCTACAAACTGACAAAAAAATGCCAACACAAGAAAGAGGAAGTCTTGGCCCAAAAATATGTTTCATCAGATTAACAGTCGCCTTCAAAGGCTTAACTATGGTCAGACATGCTGATGGATTCTAGCATCACTTCACTTCTGACCTGCCACCAACTGTTGATCCTTCAGACAGAGTCAAACCATCAGCAGTACCTAAATGCATGTTCAAGGAACACTGTGTCAATAGATGCTAACCAAACTTGGAATGAACCTTAAAAACATTGCTCCATTACAGACTTCAGCCCATACATTTTATAAACAAGAGGTTGAGCTTATTAGAACAGATTACCTTTTGACATTTAAGTTACTCCATCATCTGCATAAAATGACACCACTTCAAGCCAAAACTCTGATGATCCTTACCAGAAAAATAACTGTGTGCTTTGTGATCATGTGACCCAATTACCATTGTGTTTTGAGAAATCTTGGCTCATAACTAAGTGACGTTTCTATTCCATTTATGAAGTAATAAAAGTTTTCAGTATTTTCACAGCTATAATACATAATGCTGATGGAAAAACTGGGATAATTTATAATCTTTGCCAGCCATATCTTAGTTGGTACTCTAGCTCCTGATGCTGCAGCTTAGCTCCTTTATGGTTGTTGCTAAACTCTTTACTTTTAGTGCTGTAAATAAAATGAAGTAATTAGTATCTAAAGCTCCGTATAAATGTTGATAAATTAAAAAAGGTCATTAAATCCCTGTTAAGTGGGGGATCACAGATTTTACAAGTGTTCTTTCTACAAGCATAAATCCTCTCTTTTCTTCATCTCCACATTTCCACTACCCCCTCCCCTCTTCTCCAGGCTATAGAGACCAGGGTTTTCCTCAGGATGTTTGAGCAAAGTCACTCTCATGTTTGCGGATCAATTCATTCTAACAGTTTAACCTCCCTGACGCCTGATGGGGACAGAGCGAGGCAAAGACATGAAAATGAATAACCACATGGAGAAACAAGGAAGAAAAGATCAGCTGACAGAGAAATCCTCTGATTGAAGATGCTGGTTGGCGGATACCTAGCCAAATTAAGATTTGAAGCCGAAGAAACAGTAGGAGGAAAGAGAGACTAAACCTGTACAGTTGACTATAATACATGGATAAAATAACAAGTGTTCGGTATTTTGTTGAGTAAATTAACTTTTTTTTTCTTTTGGTCATATTAAAAAGACTACATGCCAGTATAGAGCTGAAGAAGAAAGGACAATATTGTCTGAGACAATGTGGATATTGCTTTATATTTGTCATATTGCTTTGTGGCTTTTGCAGCAAACATTGTACATACAGTAGAGGGCTGCACTGTAAATCAGTGATACATTATCAAGCTTACAACAGTTTTTATAGAACAGGTTTAACCAGAGTATCCATGGCCCTTGAATTAGCTGCCTGGTGCAGCTGCAGCGTATTTCAGTGTCAAAATATGTTCCAACCAGAAGTAAAAAACTCGGACAAGTTTCAACAGATGATCTTTAGTTGTGTTCAGGCTATTGTCAGGGTCAAGGGTTGGTAAAACTTTGGAATTCAGTTATTAACAACCAATGAAGTTTTAGTCAGTTGATATTTATTTCATATTAATCAGAGCAAATTGTTAATAAATATTCATATATTAAGTATTTATATGGACACATTCCATGTACTTTTGCAGAACCAAAATAAATGTTCACAATTATCTTAAATATCTCATTTCAGTTTCCTATAAGGGCAAAATTAGAATCTATGGTTATATTACATACATGTCAGATGATAATATTAACATTTGATAACCTTTAATTATTAACAAATGTGTATTTTAGACCTGCCCTGCACATGGCCATTTATTATTCTACAGATTCTATTAATCTATATGAAGGATTTTTCCACTAAAACTTTGTTCTAGCAACCCAATCCATATTATACATAGTAAGTTCCATATTTAACAAGACATGGTAATTCTCCATTAAATCACCAGCACAAAATATAGGAACCAACTTTGGACCAATTATATCTGAAGCATCTGTTCAAACCATAAATAGCTTGGGTGCCTAATGGTCTGTATTGTAAATGATTACAACGTGATCTGCAACTTATTCATCAGTTTATAGATAAAATTGCTGCCTGTTTCTATGACTTCAGTATTTTAGTTGTTTCCCACAGTATCAAAATGACTCACGCCTCCTGATGAGAAATGGATTTGTTTCACACCTCTTAAATGTGTAAATCAGTGTCAAAGATATTACACATTATTATCTAATCGACAGTACCCACTCAGGGGGAAGCATAGTCAGCACAGAGTCTGTCACATCATGACAGAGATACAGTTACAGTAAAGTTGGTGACACTATTTTTGTTGTTTGAGTAGATTTTAATATTCAAATAAGAACTTGTTAGGTAGAGTTTACTTTTTTGTGTGTCCATTATTAATGTGTGGGTGTTTTAAATAGTGATGGATATGGATATATTGTATTGTCGCAGTGTTACTATGTAAGAGGGTTTGTTGGTACAACAGCATTGGCACAGTTGATCCAAACAAAGCCTTGACTTTCCTTTGATACCACAGCAGATATCTAATGAACAGTAACATCGGATTCGAGTAACAAAAGTCAAAGAGCCTTAATCAAAAAGAAATAAACCAGCTAGCCTTAGACACTACACAAATGGGTAATGATGTATTAAACAGACATAACTGCAAGTTTGCTTGACGTAAGTGCTCAGCTGAACAAACCGGCTGAGAGTACACCTCAAACAGAAACACAGATTTTTTTCCTCTCTTGTAAATCTATCAAAACCAATGCAGAATTTGTTGGACAAAAGAGATACATTTATTAACAGTGAATTCCTACTACTGGTTGTGCCTCTACATAAATCAAAGTGCATAATTCAAGATGTGCTTTAACTGTCTTCTGCATTTTCTTCGAGTTGTCTTCATTATCTTAGCCAAATGCCTTTAATAAGAGTGTTGCTGTATTTTGGTGGATGATGTTTTCTACGTTTAGATTGTGTTAGTGTTTTAGAGAAAAATAGATGATGATGACAATGATGATTTCCATACATGTGATGATGTTTTTGCCTTAAAAATGACCAGGGGTTTTTGTAGCAGTCGTACTTAAGTTTTTTTTCCCTTTTTTGTATGTTTGGATGTGATGTATAGGTCTTAAACAATTGTTGTTTATTGTAATCAAACTTTCAGCCCTTAACACTGATTCTGCTTTAAGTTTAAGGGGACATATACAAGTTGTTGTATATTTTTTTTGTTTATTGTGGTGGTGTATTATATTTGTGAATGTAGGAGGAACATACTGCAGTTGTAATGTACTGTAAATGTACAGTTCTCTGCATGTATAGCTCTGATGTGAATTCACTGTATACACTCTCACACAAACTCTACCATTCTGAGATTATAGCATAGTTCTGTGACTCTGCAATAATAGTTTTATTTTAAGCTGTTTGAGATCACTGATGAATTCTTGCAATTAAAAAGATTTGGTTCTAATTCCTCGTTCCTGGTTTTCGGCTTACTTGAAACAATATAACCAGCTGGTTGAGGGATTTTCCCCCTGAGCCACAAAGACATGAGCAGATTGTGTTCCCCTTTAAAATGAGAAAAGTTCTAGTCAATGTTTTGTACTGCCAAACCACAGAGCATTGCTTATCGTTTATATCCAACACTTACAAATACCTGTCAGAATATGGCTAAAGGACTTGCTACAGACCAACATAAGAAAAGTGTCAATACTATGGTGGCTGTGATATGATGTGCTGTGACCTTTATTACTTGCCTCTAAATTAACAATATGGAAGGTTTTTTATTGGACTATTTTCACATAACTTCTCAGTGATGGAGAAGATCAGAACCACCCTGAGGTCCAGACATCCTGAGGTTATGACTGCACGTGTAAAAGTGGAGGAAGCATGCCAAAAATTATATCAGGATCAGACTTCTAACCTGAGAGAAATCCAAAATGGCTTCAGGGAAAGGAGAGACACAGTAACCCAGCCTTGAGGAGAATCATCAAAGATGTGAAAAAGAATAACCCAAAAGCAGTCCAGTGCTTTATTTATTTCAAAAAGGCATTTGACTAGATACACAGGGGTGTAATGATAAGAACACACAAGGCCTGGTTTTCCTCCCAACCTTCTTCAGGCCATATAGAGCGTGTACACAGGTATTAGAGCAAGGGTTGTGTCCCAAAATGGCATAAGTAAGGAGTTAGACATCCATCAAGGGGACACCTTTTCCCCCTTGCGCTTCATTTGTATAAAACAAAGACAATCCAAAAGATTCCCTGCAGTAGTCCTCCTCCTGACAGACCTAGACTTTGCAGACGACATCAGCGTGCTATCTGATCATGTGGAGCAAGTGCAAGAACCTCTGTAGCGGAGTGGAGTCTTAGGATTAATGCTGAAAAAACTGAGTTTGTCAGCTACAAATCCCCCCCAGGCAACACGTCTTTGAGGACAACAGGACGTACTGCGAAGGTGTGGAAGTCAAACCTCCCACGACACACAAAGCTCAGGTTTTCTCTACAACTGAGGAGTCAGTTCTCATTTATGGATGTGAATGCTGAACCCTGAAGCCCACCCTGCAGAAGACAGTGGATGGATGCTACACTAGAATGTTGCGTATAGTGCTGATTATCAAGCCAGTAAACTGGTGCTGTGGGAGTATGGAAGCAAATAAGAGACATAGTGTAGGTGTATGTTTGGAACACTGAGCTATGGTTTGGGACCCTGGGTCGTCATATGTTATGAGATAAAGAGGAAGACCCATTAACTTTGGCTATTTGCTTGAGTGGGGACCCTGGCTATATTATTGTGATTTTACCAGAAACGCGATTTAGCAGAACGCAGAAAGCACTGGTGATTTAGACAGATGCATGGAGGATCGAGATGACTGGAAATGTTGCTGGAGGGCTCGTGTGATGACGGCCAAATGGATTAATTTCTCATTCAAAATCTTGAGTCATTTAGCATGGAGATCACTTCATTGCTTTTAAGGCACAATTGCACCATTTCCAGCCATGCTAGCGTGGAAGGCAATGCCAATTTGTTTGCCAACCAATTGAGTCAAACCATAGACGTAGCTAGAACTAACAATACAGTAACTACACTAACTTTCCATTACCTTCAGCACCTGCTCCAAACTGACACATAAATCTGTTCTGCTGTAGACTGTTCCGCATACGGTTTCTCCAGCGTTTTATTCATAAGTTTTGGTTAACGGAAGTGGCGTGGCATCAATTACACAAGACGGAGGAGGCGACATGCCGTCCATATTACTATAAGGTCATACTGAAAAATCTCACCTGGGCACACTGACAATTACTTTTTCAATGCCTTTATCGGTTCAAAAATCAAGGTCAAAATGATTACATTTCCATTAGCGTGATGAATACAGCTATTGTTGCCAATTTCAGTCAGTGGTTGGGAAAAATCCTTTCACCAGAGTACCAGCATGTTTTATTTACCTATTTTTTTCTGGATCAATAATCGTTACGTCACATGGGTTTACAGCCGATGTGATCGAAGGTAGATAACTAAAATACCAGTCAATGCATTTTTAATCAGAAGCCCATAGTCTTTCATTCAGGTCGATCAACCCCAATCAGTCTCTCTGACTGAACCTCTGATAAATGAAGAAAGATTTATTAACAGGGAGAAACTGAATGAATATCACCAGAGGACAGCTGTTGTCATGAACGTATTTGTTCTTGTTGTTTCGCAATATTAAATCAGCACCAAAAAACGTGTTAAAATAGAATCGCGACGAACGCATGAGGTCGCAAACCTCAATATTAGATACGAGGTTCTTCTCGGATGGTGATTCACTGCATGACTGTGACTTTCTGTGTAAAAGGTTAAATGTTGGGGAAAGTTGTGGAAGTATTATAATATTACATATAGGCTAATAATAAAAAAAAAAAAACGTAGGTATATATGAACTTATATTGTTAAAGTGGAAAGTCATGTCATAAGTAAAGAAAAAAAACATTGTAATTTGAATGTATTATCGAATATTGTCAACACGTTAATTATAAGTTTGTATAGAGCAGACTTTATGATGTGTCAACATTGTTAGTACAGACCGGTACAGTCTTGCAAACGTCAAGTAATCCGCTTGAATAAACAGTAAAAAATACAGCCAGAAAAGAAGAGAAAACAGCATCCCTACCTATTTCAAGTTAGTTGACACTCAGTCCAAGCTTCCCATGTTATCTCTCCAGCTCCCGGGCAGCTCTTTCACTGGCACTAAGCTGACACATTTGCATCATTTGGAAAATCATCATCATGAAAACTCAGTGCTGTTCACTAAAGTAACCGCGTTGCTAAATGTTAGCCTCCCAATGTAAAAATTCGGAAAATAAGATATTTGTTTTGAATTTGTAGTTTTTTTGTTGTACACGAAACGCCAAATCCAAAATTGCTAAGATCAGAACGCCAGAAATGTTTTCACATAGTCACCTTTGACCTATGGCCAGGACAGGTGAACGCCAATCATTAATTACGTCATTACGTCATTACGTAAGTGAAGCAGCCAAAAAATGCAACTGGTGAACGTCGAGTCGTTGATTAAAATAAATAAATCTGACAGACACCTTTTTGTATTTCATAGAAAGAAAATATAATATCATTATTGCGTTATAAACTATAATGATAAATGGTTGTACTAATCAAATGTATGCACAGTGCAAAGACATTTACAGCTTCCGGTGTCACTAATTGTATCAACACCAAGACCCATTTCATCCATGATAAAAGCATTCATTTTCTAATAAGAAATCCTATGTTTTTTCAATTGGAACACCATCAGACAATGCAAAGATCACTTCACGATAACAACGTTTTTGCCAGTTCAATTTCCCGAGAAAATATAGATAATTTGTCGAGGCCAATGGCCTGCAGGCACAATTCAAGGTGTGTGTGGATCTGTAGTTGGTTATATCCAATGATAACATTTAGTAAAAAAAACATCTCAGGTTCAACTATTTCTGTTATTTTGTTGAGGGTTATGCAGTGATTGATTCTATTCCAATATCCTTACATGTTAAGAAGTGCACTTTTTGTGTGCCTCACACTCGGAAGCACACCTGTGTAAAATTAGAATAAGAATAAGAAATAAAACAGTCTTATTAATCATCCTTACAGGGATGTTGGTGATCAGAATAAGTAACACTCCAGAAGTATCCTTTTGACAGTGCCTTTAAGCACTGAGGCCAAACTTGCTGTTTCTCCTCTCTCACCAAATAAGGATTTGTCACTGCTTTCTCTCTGACCAGACAAGCAGGAGCACAACATCCCCCTTAACACTCCCACTGTCACCTCCATTATGTAAACACAACCAGAGGTGAGTTTTTCCATCTCAGCCCTGCAGGGTGCAACGTCAAAATACATTCAAAGCCTTCGGATGTAATACAGCGGCAACACTGGTTAGATGCCCTAGTTTAAATGCATTGTTTTTAATATATTGGGTCCTGACATCATGGTTAAAATATTCTGTGGCCTGTCCATGTTTCTCTCCAGGAGACGAATGTTGTCGCTAAAATCCAGTATTAGAAAATGCCCTCTGGGAAAACAGCAGATGGTATTTGGAAGAAATTCTTGTAGTTGCATGAATCTCTTGGCTTGCTTATGCTTCCTTAAAACTTAAAAATCCTTACCATACTATATAAAGAATCCTATAACATGATCTAGATTTAGTTGGCATTAATTAGTTTTTTTTTAATGAGCTTATTCATACTGATAATAGTTTTCCCATTAAATTATTCTACATCTGAAGTCACAAGGCTCTGTTTGGCTTGCACATGCCTGTCCTGCAGCAATATCAATATCAGATATGATTCTGCCTTCACCTAATGATCATTGTTGCTCTGTGTAATCTACCATCAATTTCTCCCACCTCTGCAAATGAGATCATGTTTATTAAAGTATGATTAAACATCTTACAGCAGAAGCAGCTTTAATGACATTCACGTAATTGTCTGGATTAAGACTTTATGTTTTGTTTTGGAAGTAGGGTTATAGTCGAATTTGAAGTTTGTTTGAGATGACCTATAGCAACTGAAGTGAAACAACACCACCACCTGCTGGAAACTGATATGAACTACAACCAGCTACAAGTTTTGACACTTATATGTTCAATAGAAAAAGTGTAACTGTTGTATTTTTTAGGGAAAGACACAAAATGTTGATTTAACTCCTTGCTTCATTTTTTGCATGATTAATTTGTTCATTTTTTTAGTTTGTTTTAATTTCCCAGGCTTTCTGCCAGTTTCCACATTGCTGGCCAAGACATTTCGATATTAGGAACACAACTTCTCCCTCTAACTTCTCCAGCAGCAGAAACGTCTTTTTCTGTTTCACTGGGGAGCTGCAGACCTTAAAAAAAGAAGTTTTAAATCAATAAGAATAACACACAAAACCACAAGGAGCCCCATGACAAGTATAGATCAAACATTTACTCTTTTTCATCCATTATCTTCATGACAACTTTCAGTAAAGAATGCATTTCAGTTAGAAAATTTAAACCATCTCTTCCCAAGTCTTGATATGAAATATAAACATTTCTAGCTCAAAATCTCCCACGTAACTACAGGCACCTTGTTTTTGTGTAATTTTTCTTGGTTTTTTCAGCTTCACACCAGACACCAGTTGAACTGTATTCACGCAGCAGAGCAGGGAGGACTTTTACAGGCCAGACCAGCCAGGTGATGGGAGGATGAGGTGTGGAGAGATCATGCATCCACGTGAGGAAGCAAGGTGAGCCCACGAGCTGAGATTTTGTGCCAAATCAGGATGAGCTTCTTCCACCCTTGTAGTTCATTAACATTCATGGTTAAGATCAGGGCCAGTGTGTATGTAGGCTGTTATCTGACCATCTCTCAGACCCCATCTTCTTACAGTGAGCAAAGTGGATCCACAAGGATTTATATCTATATTAAATAATCTCCCACTAAAAGTTGAATAAAGGAAAATCATGCTTAAGTGCGGAAAATTTGCATCTGAATTAGGTCTGAGAGAATATACATTTCAGAACTACAATATTTTTGTAATACTCATGAGCCGACTCTGAAGACAAATCTTCTGATTGTATAGGCAGGATCATCTACAGCAACAACATAACACACCTAGATCTTGATTGTCATGTTAACAGTCTTTTGAAAAGGGTTGATTATTTATATTATCAATATATTATTATAAAAAAGACACCCTCTATCCATAGATTTGCCACTAAAATGCAAACGCTATAAATAGCCATTTCAATCTGGATGGTTTACACAGACTAAAGGACACACTGACAAATGAGTCACACCGTTTGTGTGAATGCAGACAAATTCCAAGCAGTCATCCTTTCTACAAACTGTCAGATGAAGCACAACCTTGGTATCTCAATCATCAGATAATCTTGACTTTCATATGTATCTTAACAGCTTTCTCATGAAAACTGCTACAATTGCCTTACTTTTCATATCTGTGCAATTTAATCAAACTTTACTTTTTACAATACTAACAAGAAACATTTGTGACCCAGAAATGATGGTACTTGTCGGTACCGTGACTCATAATGCCCACATATCATATCCCATTATTTTGTTACTGTGGGTTGACATCAAGATGTCTGTTCTGTTGTGTTTTGGTTCTGTAACCAATGAGATTTTTACAGTCAATTTCAAAATGGGCTTTTGGTGTAACTTCCTAAAAGCTCAATAAAGCACAGCAATACAAAACCCAAGTAGCAAATGCAAAAGTCACATTGAAAACATGAGCGATAAAATGTCAACCTTTTTACATTCATGTCACAACTTTACACAAGGCTGTCCGTCTCAGTCTGCTCTCTCAGAGTCGTACAAAGAGTTGGCTTTAAAGCACTCCAGATGCTAAGTTGCTCCCCCCAAATGATGACGTAAAATGTGTAGGTGTCTTTAAAAACCTCAATGTGCTGGGTTACTCAAGGCGGGATGCCCTATGTCCTCAGTTCTGAAGTTCTGTGTCTTCAACCTTGTCTTGCACATTGCCGTTGGCCCCATACATGAAATCTACCTGACAAACGATGACAGGCTTAGACTGAGGAAGATGGCGGTGTGCGGCCCTCCCAGTACTTCTGATACGATGTTTGGAACATGTCCTTACACTGAAGCTTGGCGTTCAGGCGGGAGCAGATCAGGAACGAGCCTCCCATCTTACGGTGCAGGGAGTACGTCTCCTCGGGGGGCGGGGTTAGCCGATGTTTGAGCATCACTGGGATCAGGTTGTGGATTCTCTCGGTGGTGGAGTGGGAGCCAAATTCAAAGGTGTCTGTGGAGGCGAAGGCCTCGCCGAGGATCATAACAGCATCCACATGAGCATTTATCATCGCCTGGGAACAGAGAGAACAATATGCAGCTTTTTCCACCTGGACAATATAAAGTGCCCCTTTAAAAAACTAATAATGAATATTTCCATAGAAATACATTTCCAGAAACTGATACAGAGGTATTTGAACTTTATATTAGTGTAAAACGCAAATGAGAATCTTAACAATAAATCAAACAGCCTCCAAATCTCTCCTTTGTTGCTTTTACAACAATAATCACTGATTGAAGTACAGGTTAGAATATACATTCACATTGATCAATGCACCAAAATGATCTAGTCCACCATCCGATGCACATGGACTTACAAGACAATATAAAACAGGAGGATGAAAGTGTAACCAGCAAGCCATTTGAACCAAATCAAAACAAAAAAGGCTGACTTTTGACATCAACAAATACCACAAAAATATTCTTTGACGTTTTGTATTACATCCCTAGACAGGAGTTTCTATCACAATTAGATTCCAATTTTTCTAGCTTATGACTTGGATATTGGCAACATTTACAGCCATTGTGTGTGACGGACAGTCAGATAAAGAGATATTTACCTTGGACTCATAACCAGTCAGGAACTTCATGTCAATGGATTTCTTCAGGACTCCTTCTCTGTTGCCCTCTGCAGCTGAGCGGATGACCTACAATCACAAACAGGTAATTAATGTTACCACTGTTATCACTTCCAATATCCTCTCAGAAACATGTTTTAAGATGTAAGGCATGGTGATAAATCTGAGGCAGAGGGACATTTTTAAGTTATGTCTTAACAAGAGACTGACATAAATCTGTGTTTCAGGCTATGTTAAATTACAGCGTCAAATATCCATTATGATAACATAGTTATGTAAAGTAAGAATGAGGCTGACTGCACTTACCTCTATGTAGAGGTCTGTGAAACTCAGATCAAATCCTCTCGTGGCGCCAAAGTCCAACAGCGCCACCTAGAGAGAGAGAGAGAGAGACGATGAAGTGATACATTGTTTTTCATTTTACTCTTAAATCTCTCTGCCAATAACATGTTGTCTAATTCTACAAGCAGTGACTGGAGCAGCGGTAGTATTCCTCCTGTACACAGACTCACCTTGTGTGTTTGTGCATCATACAAGAAGTTGGACCAGTTTGGATCAGTCTGCATGTACCTGAACTCAAACAGCTCTCTGAGGCATAACATCAGGATGTTCTCACAGATCTGAGACACAAACACACAAATCACTGCACGGTTGTTTACTGCTATAATCAATGACACATTTTTATCACAGAATATTTTTAATGGTCAGTGGAAGCAGACACTCGTGAAAGGGAGAGAAAGTACAAATGGACTGGAGACTGGAGGTAGAAGCAGTTCCCTTCCTGGCCACCAGATGGATCAGAGAGAGACAGAGACTAGTTTTCACACAAACACACACCCACAAAACCTCATCAGCCTCCAACTCTGCTGAAAATCTATACATCCCTTCATCAGTCTGTTCTGGCTGTGAAACTGAATTGACCTTCTAGGATTAATAACGTTGTCTGAATCTGAATCTGGTTTTATCAGCTGTACCTCGTTCTTCAGATCCTGCGTGAGGTTTTCAGCCTGGTCCAGGGGAAACCCAGGGACAAGCTCTGTGGTCAGCACGTGGCTGCTGCTCAGTTCCTCTATCACCTCAGGGACATAGAAGAATGGATGGTCTTTTAAGAGCTCCCTACGTCAGACAAGTGTACAGAAACAAAGAAGCATTACAAGCAGGTAAATTATGCAGGTTGTCCTTATTTAGAATTAAATCTAGATTTAGTAAACTGTCAGTTAAGGTAGTCTTGATCTTGGACCAAAAAATATGATCATCATTATCAAGTCGATGCAGCAGTGGTAAGAGGCAGTGACTTACAACAAGAAAAATGCCAAAGCCACGCCAACAAAAAAAAAAAGTAAACACGCTCTGCCTCTTCACAATTACAGTCTGAGTCCATGAGAGAGTGGACTCACTTAACTCATCAGCTAAACTTACTGCCGGTCTTGTGACACTAGCTAGACGAAGGCTCCACTCATGCACAATGAGTACACAGCAGCGTGTGTGCAGGCAGGCTGGTAGGTCCAATCATTTCAGTCTGTCCAAATGAAGTAAATGGAGGGACTAATAAATGCATTCAAACTCCAAAATACTGTTTTAACTTTCCTGAGATTTTGATTGCTCGATTACTGCTGAAAATTCAAATATTTTCAAGAAATATGAGAAATATTGTGAAATTAATAACATATCCTTGCTTTAAGTTAAGGGGCTTATTATCTAGACTGTTTTAAGAGACAAATTAAAAATAGACACATGTAATTATCATGCAAAATAATACAACCCAGAATCTTACAAGATAAATGCAGTGTTTTTATGTGCATAAATTGGGACTTCCAAGTACATTTTTGTTTATAAAACAAAACCCTTTTCCCTGACTTTTTCCACACTAGCTTCAGCACTCTAACAAAAGCTCTGACACGTGCGTTGAAAAGTAAACAGACAGCAGAAGGAGAAGAGAACAAGTGGAGCAACATGTTTCTTCATACTCTTGACAAAGAACCTTAAGAACCTGGACATCTCACTTCCACATTGCCATTAATAAGCTTAAACCAATATTGTGTGCAGCCCTACGTACAAATTACCTGAATTTCTTTGCACACCGGGCTTCTCTGATATAATCACACTCTAGTGCCAGCTCTCTTCTCATCACGTCTATCAGGTGCTCTGGAAACAGACCTAAAGACAATCAAAGACAACAACAAACAGGGAGAGAATGTCAGCTCAATTTTAATATATTTGAAAAATCAGTAACTCAGGAGCAAATAACAGAAAGCGTAGAAAGCAAGGTTGTTTGAGGATTTTAAAGGGGCAGGGGCTAATATTCACAATGGTGCATTATTTTGTACAATTTAAAGAAATAAACGCCTGGAATGACAAATATTGCGACATTTTTCAAGAAACAGAAAATATGTGCATTAAAACAAACTCATGACTGAGGCTAGCACTTTTGTACTGTTGGTAACTGTCAATATATGTAGAAACTTTCTCCTTGAAGACAGGTGACGAGCACTACTAGAGTTTTAACTGCAATGTGAGGCCACACCACATCATGGGGACTGTAGACGTTAAAGTGAAAAGTTTGGCTTTTCCTACAGTCAGCCATGCAGAGGCAACCGTGTCTATCTATTAGCCTGCCAACACAGCCCCTCAGACGTTTAGACTAAGACCCTACGTATACTTTAATAAAGTCTTCCCACATTTTAACCATCCTGACTCTTTTAACTTCTGCCGCTGACATCTCCTCTCTATATTCATCCAATAACACCTCTCATAAAAGTTATAATTACTTCAACAGTTACAGTTGGTTAAGTAACTTTTACTATGTGGCAACAAATGCTTTTAATACAACAACACACCTATGTGGTGTGTGTATAACTACCTCTTTTTCTATATAACAACACATGCCATAGTACAGAGGCCTTGCAAGCATCAGCTATACATTTCAGCTACAATTTTTTAAAAAGCAACACATGTGCTTTTCATGTTAAAAACACTAGTTTGATTTTAACTGATTTGAGATAAAGACTTTAACTATTGAGCTAGTTCGTTTCATAGCTTCCCCCCAAAAATAACATCCTACAAAAATCTGCTGCCCACTCATATGCTGCACATCTATATTCAATAAAGATGTGACAGTATCTTTTACCTTTCTTGCTATTTTATCAAAAAGAAAAAGTATTTCAAGATTTAAAAATGACAATGACAATGAAGCTCCAATGAACAGATATGAACATGAATTAAATTAATGAAGAAGGAGAGAGGAAGGGAGAGGAGGAAGTAATTTTGATAAATGAGGCCCCAGGTGTCTGTCTCTGCCTCAGAGTTACTCATCATCACGCTGACGGAGTGCCTATGTGTGTACGTGGGTTTGTGTTTGGGTGCGTGTGCTCACAGCTGCAGCAAAAAGAGGGCATGTTGCTGGCCTGGATCACATAGCTCCCGACCTGATATTCATATTTTACCAAATATATCTGTTTGGCAGGCCAGGCTGTGCGCAAACAGGAAATGATCTTATTAAAAAAAGGGCACTTTCTCTACAGAGGGCAAAACGTCAGTCCCGTGTTTTTCTGTGCGCACGGGCCTGATAGAGAGGTATTCAGTGTTTCAGGAGCAGGGGAACAGGAGGAGGATAAAGACAGTGTGAAGTAGCCAGCATGAGTGTGTTTTTTGTGTATGAATTACAAGGTAAGCATGCTTGTGTTTGCATGCATGACAGAGAGTTTCACTGTATGTGCATGTGTATACGAGTGAGTGTGTACCTTCAGGCAGGGCATTGCTCATATTCAGCACAGTCATCAAGTTGTTGACGTCACTGTTGATGCTCTGAGCCACACCGGGGTACTGGGGATTTATAAAAAGACACAGAGGGAATAAAAAATAAAAAAAAAGATTAAAAAAAGATTTGGCATACAATGAGGCAGAAAGCAGCACTATCTTTGAGGTGTTTTATCATCACTTTGAAGCTACTGTTATACCTTTGTGTTTTGTTTTTAAGTAATAAAATGTTGTTTTAAGTGTTTCACACGAGTATAAATATTGATGAGGACAACAGTTATCTATGATGAGATTATTATAACACCATTGTGTTTAATTCTAACAGATACTTAATAATTCCCAACATTTACCTTAAAGGGTTTGGACGTAAAGAGAGAAATAGAGGGGACGGACGGACACACTCAAGTTGTAGTGTTTAACTTGATAACAAGGGAAAGTTCTGTGTAAACACACATGTTCACACTGTACCTGTATTTTCATGGCCACCTCCCTGCCATCCTTCATCCTGGCCAGGTGAACTTGACCAATGGACGCTGCTGCGAACGGACGCTCCTCAAACGACTCCAGTTTGTCCCTCCAGTTTGGACCCAAGTCACTGTTCAGCGCTTTCTATACATAGACAATAAACGTTTATTCTTTTGAACTTGTATAGTTCGGTTTCATCGATTGTCTCAAAAACTGTCTGCATTTGCTGTTTTTTTTCCAAATGGAGCTCAAGTGGATTCACAGTCTTGTTAACTTAATAGCCCTCGTACAATTCAAATATCCAGAACATGTAAAGAATTAGAAAAAGAGAGAAAAAAGACTCTTACCGTCATTTGTTTGATTGGCATGAAGTCAGCACTCTGTCGAACACGCTCAAAGATCTTGGCGAGTTGCGGGTTGATGAACGCATCGTCTGAAATGCACAAAACCAAAGATTTTCTAAACTTAACAGTGATGTCAGTCTGCAGGCACAACGAAAGAAAAAAGTTCACAATCAAATTTAACAACTTCAATCCCTGGTGTAAGGGCGAAATATAACACGAGAAGGACAGCTGTTGTATTCAGCGCGGTGTGATTCGTTAATACGAGAATGAAAGCATTGCTGATATTCAGTGCAATAACACAATATTGGCTGTGACAATGTTTTTTCATAGAGTTCGACATGCAACATTTATTAGTTAACAGTAAAATGCTACAGCAGATATTTTTTTTAGTTTACTCAAGTTTTGCATCTTACTGGAGCTGGACTTTTGCCAGAGAACACGTTTACCTCCACTCCCGTTACTCTGTGTGTCTACATTACAACCTATGGCTTAATGTAAATGTTAATTTGGAAATATATCCATCTGTGCTGCAAAGATCTACAAAACAACATTTGAATAGTTCTGTAACGTTAATAAATAGTATTTACAACATGCAAGGTGGACTGATACATGTAGTTAAAGTCCCAGTATTGTTATTCTCTATATCAGAGCCCATAGGATGCCTCTTGTCCAATCAGAATCAGGATTACAAATATTCCTTTAAACCTAGAGGGGTCTGAAGCATTAAAAAAACTTTTAAACTATTCTGGCTGGCACCAAAGGCAACAAAGGCTGGATGCATAATCATCCCATCATATCTATATCCTGCCCTAACAGCTAAGTGTCAGCTGTTGGCAAAGACCCTTCACAGTGATTATTATCCTACAGATATACTAGACCCTTCACAGTGATTATTATCCTACAGATATACTGTCCTCTGCTTATGTTTCAATGTTCTCAGATTCCTTTAATTCCATAAGACCATAAATCTCCCTCGCTATTGCAATAGTGGTGACGTGTGTGTCCAGCTATCGAAAACTACTACGACCTTTTAGTCCAAGGACCAACTTGTCACCACTATAGAAATAGTTGTGAGGCTGCGCCAGTTCTACAAATAATCATACACATGGACATAAGGTCATCACACTGTGTTGAAACCTGTTTAGCAAACATCCAGCAGCCAAGTGTCCGTTTCTCTCCTACTGATGTTTTTGTGGCTAATAACATTTACACTGCACTGTTTGTGTAGTTTATGCTGTAAAGTCTACCCTGGCATGTGCTGCACCCGCGATCTAAATGCCAAAGGACAAAGGTCACCAGTCAAGGTCAGGCAGTTAATACTACAGTCATAAACTGAAGCAAAGATGTGTTTTTAGTGCTCTTACCCGACCTGACCTTACCAGCTCTGTGCCAGGATGTTAGCTACCCCTGACCTTCTAGTTTAACTCTTTCTTGCTTATATGTGCAAAATGCAAACATAAACTTTCATTATTAGTTTTTTTCTGCTAAGCTGATACTACTTAGGTATATGTTAGTGTGCAGGTCACATGTCAATGCTAGCAGTGAAACTCTGACAGTGTTTTAAAAACCTGCCAGTGAATCCTGGCAGTAGTGCTTTAAAATAAGCAGATTTCTTTGGTAACAATCGTCCTTATTCCAGGATTTATGTGTATGAATAAACTTTTAAAAACAATATGAATAGAATAATTTTTTTTATATGTCAAGCCACATCTCAATATGTATCTCTTTTTTCTGCCTTCCTGTTGCTGTCTTGTTTCCATGCTGCCTCTAATTCCTCTTTTTTTTTTTTTTTTTTTATCTCTACCTTCTGAATTTACTCCAAGCCTACAGCTTCTTTTCTCTAAATGCAGTGATGCATGTCTGCATGTCTCTGTGTGCCACACCTTGAATACTGAGCATCTGTCCCAGTTTTAAAGCAGCTCCTCTGACTTTACACAGAGTTCTGACGATGCGCTCGGCATTGGCTTCAGAAAGGAAAGGGCTGGAGTCCAGAACACCTTTCTTGTTATCACCTGCAGGAGCACAACACACAGACAGATTTATTGACAATATGTTAGTTATAAAAAAAAACTTTATACACCAAGGTCTAATCAGTGATGTCAAACTTAGTGTCAAGTTTTATCTACAAGTCTTTATTTACTGTGTAACATTTTGTTTTATGTTCAGGTAAATATTACTTTATTTAACTATCAATCATTTAATGTTAATGGTAATAAACAACTTGTGCATGTGTTTGTGTCTACACTCCAGCAGACGTGCTTTTATGTCAGTAGGTCATCAGGTAGTGTGTTTTATTGAGACTAAGCTAGCCTCCAAAGACTTTAATAGAGATTTACTCCACCCACACACACTTACAAGTGTGTTAAGATTGTCCCTGGTGCGATTATCTCACACACATAAACAGCCACAGACGCACCGATGCTACAGATTGACGACAGAACAGCGTTTCAGATTAGCTGTGTTTTGAGATTAGCAGACTCACTGGGCAGTGCAGGAATGTCTGTTCGGAAAGGGAGGCAGCTTAATTGTTGTCAAAGAAAAAGTGTGTAGCATGTCACAACAAGCATGAAGGCTTGGTACAGAAAAAAAAATCAGCTTTTAAAGGGGCGTTACTCAACAGGAACACGGTTGCAAAATCACTGGAAGATCTAAACATGAGCCAACGATAAACAAAAAACAGACATCCTGTCTTTACAGGAACAAAACTCCCAGACATAGGCCTAAACAGTTTTAGATTGTTAATGTTATTGTTATATCTAGACAACTACAAGAAGCTATTTAGTAAAAAAAAGTTGTTAGTCTATGATACCTTCCACACCATTGTGTCGGATGGTCTTCTTGGCAACTTCAGCAAGAGCGCCAATACTCAAACCGACAGCTAGACCTGGTAGAAACAAACAGAAACACACAAATTGACTCATTAATGTGGACTTCAAGTACAGACAAAGTCTACTAAAACAGATTGTTAAGGTGTCTATCCCATACACAAACACTCCAACCCACGCTATCAGTGAGACAAAACAGCACAGAGTCAGGTGCTGTAAAATCGTCCCTTTAAGAGTCAGTCTGTGAACAAGCAGTCAACTACCTCAATGACACTTTCCCCATTAAGCTGTGAGAACATTTCACTTGTAAATCAAGTGAGTAAACAAACTGACTGTATGAAACCACCTGTGCCCTCTGAGGAATGGTATTCCCATCAGAATAACATGAATAACAGAACACATAGTACAACACATAGTAGACATAGTAGGCAGGGGGTTCAATCCCCAGCTCCTGCAGTCACGTGTTGAAGCGTCCTTGGGCAAGACATTGCACCCCTGATTACCCCCCTACTGCTACACCAGCGATGTGTGAATGTGTATGAATGAGATTAGTTAATACTGATGGACACTTTCAAAGCAGCATCTGCTATCAGTGTGTGAATGCAGTATGAATGCCTGACTGTGGCATGTGGAGTATAAAGTGCTCTGAAGATTAGAAAAGTGCTATACAAGCTCAAGTTAATTTATATAGACAGATTACACCCAGACAGAAAAAAATATGGCATTTGTTCTTTGACCGACACAAAGACAGAGCTGCAAAAGCTTCACTTCTGCAACCAATCAGGGGAAATGAAAATCAACGTTTTGGGAGATAATGAAGGAAGAAGCAAATCTGCACAAGGTAGGGACTATTTTTGAGCGCATTCCTCCAAGCCCTGTCTCTGACTTACATAAGTGAATTACATAATCATCTAGTGAGCAGCCACTGGAGCAACAAATCTGTCATCCAACCATGGAGGCACAATCAGGACAGAGTCTGCTTTCGATATCTCAAATACAGGTTGACCATTTGAGTGTTTCTTCAAACACACGTCATCACCTCTATTGTGGGAGACAGGATGGGCCAGAGGGAGTGAAGGTGTGCAAAACGCTTCCTGAGAAATGTGTTGAGCTGTGAACCTCATATGTCTTCTCGTGTAATCTCAGGCTGCGTTGTCTCATCTTTCCCTCTTTAAAGTATTCTATCACCTCACTGTTTTAATCTTCCTGCTTTATAAGATGTACAGTTAAACCTGAACATACAACCAAGACAACGATGAGCCAGCACTGTGCCGCTTCATATCTGTGATCTCCAAGTGTCAACCCTCATCCAAACAGGGATCAGCATTTCCTGCAGCACTTGGGTGACACAGATTTTTTTCCAGATCAAGCACACGTATCTGTCAATCATCTGAGATAGCTGCTTGTTTACGGACTCAGAGGTGTACACAACCTTCCTGTTCCTTCATTTGGGATGATATTCAGGACAAGGGTACACAAATATACATTCCTTTTCCTCAAAGAATAAAAACAAAAATAAAACATTGGTCTTATATAGCGCTTTTCTGAGTACTCAAAGACATATCTAAACTCCCTAAAACCTGCATTCTCTATCTCCACTTGAGGTTGTGGATTCACCATCTCAAATCTAAAAGTACAATGAGCGACTCAGTTTGTCATGTTGTTGCAGGAGAGTGAAGGACAGGTCGAGGCAACACTCGTCCGTCCACCCCCCCCCCCCCCCCCATCCACTACTGCATGTAAATGCTATCACTGTCAACATGCTGAATCAACACCACTTTGCCTTGTCGTCCCCTTTTTTTTTTTTTTTTTTAAAGTGTCACTTGTTTGTGAGGAGCTGCAGATTAACCTCTCTGCTTGTATTTGTGTTGGCGTTCCATTTGGTCTCATCTGAGACTCTGCTCTGGGTTCATTACAGTGCACAGTTTATGTTTTCCAGCGTTCTGCACTTCAAGTTTTTCTGTCCAACTTTCCGCCACCTGTTCACTTATCTATCTTATGACTGAAGAGGAGCTACACGCTGCTGAGTTACAAGCTCTTATCTCTCATGTTAAACTACTTCTGAGGATACGCGTTAGCCTGTTGCTATGCTTGTGTGAACATTTTGGCCTTATCGCTGAAAGAACATCCTTTTAAGATACAACTTTGAGACAAAACAAAACCCAATATCTGTACCTGCATTAATCATCTTACATTTATATTAAATATTTTTTCTTTTCATTATTTTTGTGGTCTTTTTTGCCTCAATAAGATGGGACAGCAGAAGAGAAACAGGAAAGGTTGGGAGGAGAGAGTGGGGGATGACTTGAAGCAAAGAGCCATGGTTGGAGTCGCACCAACGGCCACCACCACAATGACTGAAGTCGCCATAAATGGAGTGCACAACATAACTGCTACGATATTTTGCAACCAACATCTAAATTCAATACATTTAAGTACAGGTTGAGATAAAAAGACCAAAATAATTTCAAAAAATTGTTTAACATTTTAGTTTTTCAACTATGTTGATAACTGTAAAAAATATATATATATATTTTTATGTCCATTTGGAGTTTCGTTGTATATTTAACTGATTGGATATCACTTCCTTTTAGGCTTACTCGGTATCGGATTGACATAAAAAATAAATAAAAAAATGTTACAGATAATGAGCCTGAAAAACGACATCATGGTGAAACACAAGAAAGTCTTACAAGCAAAAAACAGAATCCATTAAAACATAGGCTGATGTGATGCTTTTTGAAACTATAAGAACTGTCAACTATCAAGAAAGTGTTTGTTTAAGAGCAAGTCCAGCGTATTACACTATTGTTCCTGTCTTCAAGGATTCTCTTATTTCCTTCTCAGCTCTCTGTGTGGTTTGTGTTCATCGGCCTGTATTTATGTCTGTTTACTGTGTAAGCATTCACACGTGTTGTGTGGAGGTCAGTAGCTGCAAAGACTTTGAGAAGCTCGTTCACTGACATAACAACACCAACTGCTCTTAACCCAGTGACCCCTGCTTATTGAAGGGGGTGATGGGTTACAGTTAGACTTCAGATGTAGATGTTAAGATTAGGTTACAGAGCTTTGCCAGCTCAATTTTGTTTCTATTCAACACATTTTGACATAGCTTCAAACCAAAGAGAAGCCACATAATGTTTGATTTTCTCTTTCTCTCCATCTGGTTTCTTTACACCAATATTTAGACGCATCTGCTTTGTATATAAGCACGAGGATTAGATTCATATGATGCTTTTTCTTACTGATTGCCCAGCCTTAAATGAATCTGTCCACAGAAACAGATATTAAATCAGCCAACATTCAGAAGGAAAAAGACCGAGGTTATTGTACCTCCAAAGTTGGCCAGTCTGCCGAGCCGGGTAACTGGCACTTTCCTCTCTCTGGCTCTCTCGCTCAGCTGAATAAGAAAGAAACAATTCTCTTAAAGTGTGCATGGATGGATATATGTTCACATACATGTCTATGTTTGTTTGAGAATATAAACTGAGGAGCGGGTTTTACCATCTGTTTGTGTGGTTTGACCTCAGTCCTCTTGCTCTGTCTAGCTTTCTCAATGTCTTCAGCCGTCAGCCCCCCGACTGTGGTTGGGTCCTGATGGTAGCTCCTGAGCTGACTGACCTGATGATGACTGTATCGCTGTCCAAATAAGTGCCTGTAGAGATGAAGATGCCCAATGAGATGTCTGCCACACCAAAGGCAAGAGGTGTTACCTATATCCTCCAAAACAAAAGGCAGCAAAACCATGAATAAGTTAAGACTAAAGATCAAATAAGAGACTGTTTATACCTGGAATCTTGGTGGTAAGATCTGATGGGTCCACTAAACTGTTTGCTGGGATCTTTGTATCCCTCAAACAATGACTGTTTCCCACTGGCATGGCTTGTTCCTGCTGCTGATGTGCCAACATGGACTCCTGTGTCATCACTACTTCTTGTTGGATCCACTGTAAAGTCCACGCCTTCCTCCCTGAACTCTGAAGCTGCAAATTCACTTTCATCTAGAGGAAAGTCGAATTCTGACTGAGATGAAGAGGTCTGCTGCTGGCCGGACAAGTCCTGCACAGATGTACACATGATGATATTACGTGAGGCATATTTAAAAAGAGGGTATTTCCACATCAACTTGTTAACGCTGTTCTTTTAATCTGAAGTTACTATCGTTTGGGCATGCCATGCGAACTAAACATGCCTTTGAACATCTTAAAAAATGGTCAATGACATACTAGTCAGACAATCTCATGCCTCAAGTTTATGTGTGAAGTTTATGGAGAAATGTGTCGCTACACCAGACACAAAGTGTCTCCACCTTTCCTCCTCCTACTCTGTCATTGTCACTGTCAGAGGGTTGCACCCAGTGTGAGATCAGGAAAATGTATTTAAGACCCAAATAACAAAACAGTATAATTGTTTGATTAAAATGTATAATTGATGTAAAAAAAAAAAAAGACACCTTTATCTGTTAGAATTGTCTTTCTGCTTTTGAAAAATCCTAATATACTGTATATCGCAGAAATAAATAATATTGCAATAATTTTTTTTCAAATATGGTTCAGCCGTAAGTAAAATACAATGTTTTAATCGATGCAACACATTCACACACCTGTATTTTCATCATAGCAGCAGAGAGGCCTTGCTCTGCAACAGCTTGGACACTTTGGACTGCTGCACCAACGCCTGGGACCCCTGCAGTACAAATAACAGAGAAGAAGTGCTTAGTCATAAAAATACATACACATTCAGTAGCATTTTTAACAAGAAAATGCATATCTAAATAATGAATAAATCTGATTAGTGCTCCTGCGTTGAAGCGTTTGAGCATAGACTGTAAATAATAAATACAAATTATAAACACTTTGAGTGATACAAAAGTCTGGCTATCATGCTTTCCTTTCAAAATAAAATTGCCTAAGGTGTCACATTTGAGTTCATAACCTTAATTCATTTGGAAGATTGCCTATAACTAACATACATAATATTGGATTGTTCCTGGAATAAAAGTCTTAAACCTGAAAACATATCTCTAGAATTTTTCCCTAGCAGTACCTTTAGCTGAAAGGTTAAACTAGCCACCTCTTGATATCTTGTGCTGTTAGCAGGTTAGGTAATCTCGATGGTTTAAACACAGTAAAAAATAACAACTTAACTCAAATTTAAGCTTTTTTATTCTATAACAGGCCACAAAATATATTATTGCATTATCAATTGTTTTATCTTAATAACATTCTTGCTAACATTACTTTCAAACAATGAGTAAAGCTAATCACAAGCTAGCCTGTTATCATTTGAGCTGCTGACGAAGTTAGCTAAATATCTAAACACTGAATGCTCATAAACTTATCAAGGGACGCTTGGACAAATTTGACATTAATGAATATTGTTTTAGTAAATTAACAAACATATAAACAACAGGGGTCATTTGTATATCGAGGAACTAAATAGGTGTAATGAAGTTACCTGTTCCATTTCGTAGGGTGCTGCCCTGAGTCTCTACAATCGCCTGGCTTAACTTAGCCAAGCCTCGCATCAGTAACATCATGTCACCCGCCATGACTGACTACACAGACAAGAGAGAAGGTTAGAGAGTTTAAAAAGGCATCTAATACAGAGATATGAAGGGTTAATATCACCTTCAGTAATGGAACTGAAGACTATTACTGTTAACAGCTCCATTACAAAGGAGAGGTCAATACATTTTACAGAGACTAAAATGTCTGAATGTGTAGTTTGAACTTGTCATTAAAGATAAAAGGGACAGAGACAAAGACATTCAGACGGAAAGAGACATAAAAACCTATCGTCAACACACAGAAACAGATTCACTCACAAACTAACACAGCTGTCACATCTTGGGATAACTTTAATACTTGGTCTAAAAATACACGACCTGCCATTCCACGCACACACACACACAAACACAAACACACACACATACAAAAAAGGAATCCTGTGCATGCATCTATGCTGTAAAGATATGTGTATGTGGTTCTGAACTGGATCTTAAATGTCACTGGAAACTAGAAGGTGGTAAGGGGGGGGGCTTGAGCCAATGTGTGCACATGCTGGGTGTGCGAGGATTGCCAACTCACACTCTTCCTCTCCCTGTTTCTATCTGCTGCTGAAAAAAACCTTCCATGAAGTCTTTACAAGAATAAATCTGGGGTCTCTTGTACAAGGAGTACTGACACGCCGATATTAGGTGGAACATTACAACACATTTAAGCTAAAATATGTGATAAGGGAGCTATTTAAGACACAAATAAAAGCTCATTACAATCCTCTCATCGCTCCGTTTCTTATCTAAATAACAGAGCACCTACCCACTGCATTCTTCTCTGGTACAATGCGCAACATTACTGAGCGTGTTTGTTAATGTGCTTCGATACAGGTGCTGGTTTGTGGGTGTGACAACGTGCTTCGACACAGCTCCGTTGGGATTCAGGCCAATGGAAAAAAAGACGTTGCTGAAAAAAGTCGGAGCAAAATGTGAGCGTGTGTGTGTTTTTGGCTGTTACACACACACACACACACACACACACACACACACACACACAATGAGTCGGTAAGTGGGTCATCGGTACTCCTTTAGGAACGCTCTGTGTATTTTAGACAGAGGACTGAAGACAGGGGCTGGTGTGTGTTGTGACACAAAGGATTAATAGCCAGAATAAAGCCTTAATAAAAAATGGACTGGCATTCTTTAAGAAAGATTTCAAGCAGGGATTCTGATTTTATTTTCATGTCCATCTTTCTGTGTACAGGAACATCCCTCCCTTTATCTTCAGCTCTGTGTCTTTATTTGGGCTCGTGACTAAGCATGTCTATTCTCTAATACAGAGCTGGGGGTCAACAGCAGCCTCAAAGTGAGAAAATCAGGCACAGGGAGACATACAGAGCAACACTTTGTTAGCAAGAATATGCCTGTGTTAACCGTGTTAAAATTAGTTGTTAAAATTGTTTATGTAAACAGTCTAAAATATCAGCTGCATCACTGGTGATTTAAACATTCAGGACAGCAACACTAAACAACCGCCTTGTATAATGGAAAATATGAACTGAGTCAGCAAGTGACAAAGCCCACACACATTACAAGCCCTCTCTAGATTCTCCAATGTCGCAACGTTGTTATGTTGTTGCGATAAATGTAGATTAATGCTTTTATCATTAATTTTTCTGCCAAAAAAACATCCCTGAAAAACTGCTCCCATATGGGTTTAAGTCTATGATGTTACAGATGATTCCAGTTTTAAATGTTTAAATTAGATTAAGGCCAATGCTCCCAAAGGGTAATTGTGGTGTCTTAGAAGACAATCGTATAATGGAGAAATCTTTGTTGGGTGCAGGAATAAAAAAAATAAAGAGGGTGAGGAAAAATCTGACACTGGTGGCCAAAGGTAATTATCTTGGTTATAGACCGTTAAAAAAGAGGAAAGAGGTAAGAGAAGCCATCCTGACGTGATTCATATTGACATTTCAACTGCCAACTCTTTTTTCTTTTTTTTTACAGGGGGAGGGGGGGGAGAACCAATAGTGACTATACAGTATGGATATGCATTGTAATGTCCCTTTATCGGCTGAAAGGTTGCAAATCACAAAAAGCAACCACCTTCAGCATATCCTGCTTTATAGTCAATTTTTTCTATGTATTAGAGAAGACTTGAAAATAGCGACTAACGGCGGATACTCATTTGATAGATGTTCACTGAAGACTATTAGAAAGAATGCAGGTTCAAGACACTTCACTTTTGAAATCAGAGGCTACATCTGCTCCTAAATCACAGTCTATGTTAGGGGTTAATTAAGAGGTCAATGGAGAGGCACTCCACATGTAAAATTCAAGCTTTTAGAAATGCAAAGCGATCCAATCAAATCTACTAATATGCACATGTCATATTTGCTACTGTTGACCGTCTTCTATGTTTGAACCCCCTGAACTTTTGTCCTGTATATAATGCAGTTCATTTGCCTCCTCCTTTACAGAAAACATCCAGGAAATAGGAGGAGCTGGTATTCCCGAAATATCAAGTCTGTACTGTCCTTGTATCCTCTTAAACAAATTCAATTAGCATGACACAGTTTGATCTCATTAGATCATAAACCTTAGACAATTGTGTGCTGCTATTTCATGGTACTCCTGCTGCCTTGACTTTCTGCTCATAGGCTTTCCCCCACATGTCCTGTATTTATTATGTCACAAAGAAAAATATCTATAAAACCCACAAGTAAGCAATTATAGGCTCTTTAAAAGCTCCCATTTTATTGGGATTGGAAGGCTGTGAGGTACTTTATAAAGCACACTTGTCAAGTGATTTAAATCCAATTTAACAATCAGACTACTTTGCGTCCTAAGTTCTAAAACTACTGTGAGTTTAATAAACACTGAATGCGTCTTCTAGAGAAAAAAATGCTTTCCTGCTCTGCTCTGTTATGAACTGTCCCATTCTTTCAGATCATCTAAAACAGGGGTTACCAAAACGTTGTCACGCCAAGGACCCCCGTATAGCTTAAGCTTCAGGCGGGGAGCCAGACACAAGCAAAAGGTATTAACTTAATTGTACATTATGATGGCAAATAATAACAATCTAACATAAAACTTTTTTTTACACCTTTTTATTAACAATGAACAATCTTGTTATTCATTTATTCAATTCAATTAATTGTAAAGTATTATTACCACTGTCTTCACAATAATCATCATCAGTAATGGTAACAGTAAACTTGTTTTCTCTGTTGGGAATCCTTCATTACGTAATCATTTTTATTGTATGGTTGGCAAATCACAATACATCAGTGTGGGTTTGTTGTTTCAGCAGGTATATTTCTCTGAATCAGTGATAACAACTCATCTATCATAAGGAGAAGAAAAACTATTAACACATATGGACAAAAATATTATATATGGTGGCGAGGCTGCTGAAAGATATTTTTAGAAAGCTCAGAGACTGCATGGTGAATACAATACACCAAAGCCTCAGTTGTTGCCCGTCTCCTGCTGTCCATCTATAAGCTGGTGACTCACTAATATTAAAATAGCCAGGCATCGCAGCATGAGTGTCTATATCAGAAATACCATTCAGTTAACCTCATGGCTAATGAAAAGCTTCCAGACACTACCTTTAAATCCTGATCCTGAGGCTAAATGTAGGCCTTTCTTCTATGACTGTGCAGTGGTGATTTACCACAGTGACCAGCGTCACCACAGCTAACAAACCAAACGTGCAGAACACCATGTCTCCTTCAATGACTGAGAAAGTCCTCCTCTTACTGTTTTGGAGGGCAACTTATCCATTGTCCTTCACTGAAGAACTGGAAAACTATTATTGCAATAGTTCCAATAACTGAGAAATCTGTTGCTAACTGTATCCAAAAACATTATATTTATAACTGGCTGTTGCAGCCCTTCTTAAATTTATCTTCAAAAATGTGATTGCCATACTCATGTTATAAAACGAAGCCTTAATGCCCTTACTCTTTGGCAGGATATCAATGTCAGATATTTTTCCAGTATTGTTTACAACATATTGACAGCTTATCAGATTAGAGACTAATGTCGAATTTGAGTTTAAAGAAAACTGTGAAAATGCATCCACCAACTTTTGAGTTTTTATGAACGCATCAATAAATCTATACATTGAGATATTGAAAAATCACCATAAAGGTGACACTGATACTTACAGCACATTTGTCAGTGATCTTTAATGTACAAACTTTAAAAGCAAATCCTGACCAGATGACTTCAAAACAGACTGTGCCTCTTGTTTCATTTCACGATTAGCCATTATATTTAACCAAAAAAAATACATACAATGGCAACACGACATACACATATAGGTCAATGTACAAAATGTATGTTTTGAATGTAAGGATGTTCATTTAAAACAGGTAGCTCATGTCAAATAGCGAAATAGCTTATTGTGTTTTATTCACATCAAGTTATTGTGTAAGATCAGTGTGTAAAAGATACCTAAACGAGTTGTACAATTTGTAATATCTTATGTAGGGAGTAATTAATTGAAATGTAATTATTACCATGAATGCACTTTGTTTTTATAACCCAGGCTAAATATAACTTTCCACTTTAAACGTAGTGTTCATAGTTCAAATGTAATAGCTCAATAAATGAATAATGTGGTTGAACACGCTTTAAAACACCTTCAGAGTAGTTAAGTAACATTACTACAGTTTCACTTCACTTTATTGCTGTTTTTACATCATCTTGAAAATAACTAAAACTTCCCATTTAAAATCAGTGTTTCTAAACGTCCTGGTGGGCGTGTTGTGAAGAGTGTCTACAATAACAAACGAGTGAAATAAACACAGGACAATAAACACTGCTTATCACCAGCTGCTTCAAAAGGACAATGTTATGAAAAAGTGAACAGGTTAAATAAATTGTTTAACATCCCCGCTTCTTAAAGTTTGTAGACACGCACGTCGAGCACGTACGCACGCGCTGCAGAGGATTTGGCACGTTCAAACATTTAGAGGTCGAAGCAACAACAACACGCGGGACTGTGACAGGACTCATGTAACGCAAATAAATCCCACTTTAATGTGCATATTTATTAGCTAGTGCATGCTTACGTGTGGAGATATGTCCAGACACTCACCAGCAGCAGTCGTGCAGCGTCTCAGCTTCGTATCACCAACTCAGTCAGGCGAGGTCAACACGGGAGAGGACGAGTCAAAATGTCCAATCTTTATTTAAAACAGATATAACTGCACGGTCACAGTTTGGGGTTCTCCCCTGGCAGCAGGAGTTGCAGGTTGTTTGTGTGTGTGTCGCACTCTTCTTCCTCCTCCTCCTGCTGCTGGCAGCGTTTAATCCTCTCTCTCTCTCTCTCTCTCTGTCTGTCTGTCTCTCCCTCCCTCCCTCTCTCTCTCTCTCTGTCTGTCTGTCTGTCTGTCTCTCTCTCCCTCTCTCTCTCTCTCTCTCTTTCTCTCTACCACGAGGTCAAACCTTATTTACCAACTGTAGGCAGCCAGAGCCGTATATTGGCGCAACCCTCCAATTTTGGATATCATTGTTTCCCAACTTAAACAGACTCTTTTGTTTGGTCACAAAATTTAGCATCAGGTCTTATAAGAACATGTATTTTGAATAATAAACTATTAATATTAGTTTAAATAATAATAATAATAATAATAATAAATAATTTAATCCTATTATATTGCATTACAAATTATTAATCTTGTCCCTTTTTTCTTTAGTTTTGCAACTATGGAGTCGTCGAAACTCCTTAAAAATGCAGTATGACTTATTTCAGAATGTATAAATGACGCAGTGTGATTTACGTCACTTCAGACATGTACTAATCAGCCTTGCTCAGCTATATTTATACACGGCTCTGGTCTTTGTTGTCTCCCGTCTACCCTTTGCTCCTATTGGTTCTCGTCGTGTGTTGACAGGAGGTGGGGCTGAAACGCGGCTTCTTATTGGTCCGTCACGCGAAAATCTAAGTTTTTCTGCTGCATTCTCCAAGAGCCACAACCTGACGCATTATTTTTGGGATTATATTCCGTTTTTCAAAAGACACATGAAGCCAATGTGCAGATGTACAAATTTATAAATTTAAACTGTACGTTCAGACCTTAGACTGTAAAAACCATAAAAAAAAAAAAAATTAATCTAGTCGGCGGTAATCATCTCATGGAGGTAATGTGGGGATCTGCTGCCATCTGCTGTTTAATGAGGGCAGCACCCGACAACTGAACTGTCCAAGATCAATTATTTTTTATGAAGAAAACTGTAAATATTTGACAGCTGGGTTTCTTAATACCGATTATTATGTGCTTTAAATCAAGAAGTAGCCTAACAGATTTAAAATACAGAATCAAATCTAAACAGCAATATTTTTAAATGAAAGACTACATTTTCCAAGAAAATGATTAAAAAAAAGTCTTAGGTTAAAATGTTTCGTCTACCTGCACTGTTGTTATTTTACTGCTCTGTGTGCTTTTGAATTGCCCCCGGGGACAAATAAAGTTTTTTGAATTGAATTGAATAAATCCTGTCAAGCTGAAGTGGGTCATCACTTCGGTTGTTTGAGAAGAATGTCTCTACAGTGTCAGAGAATTGACAGCAGAGGGCGCCACACAACATATATATTACATTTTGTTTTGGAAAGGGCGCTACAACTTTTTTTTTTACAAACTGTTCCCATCAGGTAGCCAACATTCATCTCCTGTAGATTTGCTTGTACGTTTGGGTATATCATACCCTAATTTCAATAAAATATCAAATTCAGTGATATAAAATAAGAAAAAAGTATTGCCCTAATGTAAAAGTCGATCACACCAAAGTTTTGTAAACAAAATACAATAAAACAAGACGAAGTGAAACCTTCTTGTCACTATTAAATGGAAAAAATAAATCACATCTCTGCTCTGTTCACAGCCTTTGTTCTCCTGAATCATGTCCTTTCTTTCCCACTAGCTCCGGATGCTGCTGCTGTTGTGGACAGGTATGATTTGAATGGCAAATTGCCTCCATGCAAACTCAGCAATTAATGTGGCTAAGCAGAAGCAGCGGAGGCATAAGCAAAGGGCCACTGTGGGTTTTTTATAGGTGAGGACACCAGGTTGTGTCCTTGGAGGCTTGAGCCTTATTGATTCTATGAAAAGATACAGGTTGATAAGATAGATAGATAGATAGATAGATAGATAGATAGATAGATAGATAAATAAATAATACAAAGACGCAGGTTTTTTTCCACCAAATACACATTTTTTTAAGGTACAATCCAAATAAATATACAAGCCACCAAAACCTTAACAATATGATACAAATATAATACCTACTAACAGCCATGAGTGCACGTTGGGGAGCATATGCAATAGCAAGATTGTTTGGTCATAATGGTATAGCTTTAAATAGGTGGAAATACACTTATTTGCTTTATCCTGAGGAGTTAAAACTTAAGCTAAAACTAGTGACTTGGTTAGCTTAGTTTAGCAAAAAAGGCGCCAAGAGCTTGCCACTGTCAAAGGTAACACATTTTGTTTTGCTCCTTTCTTTCCAAGCTTTATGTGAGGCCAAAATGAACTAGCTTCTGTTGCATTCATCATCGTATCACTTTGCAAAAAGGCTAAAAAAGCAAGGCACTGCATGGAATCACAATCAGTCTCGTTCACTGTCTACTGTCACTGCAAACATTAACTCAATACCATGGCATTTTGAAGATAGGGTGAAGTGTAACTGGCATATTGTTTAGTTTGTATTGCTGTTACAATATGAACATTTGTTTCTCCTATATCTGCCCAAAAAGTTGTTTATTCTTGAGTATCATAATCCAATCAACAAATATGTTTTTACAACCACATCCAGTGGTTTGAACTTTGAATATGTCACTATGTCTGCGACTTTCCCAATAGTTTGACTTTTACTCATATTGTAACACATGCGTGAACACAAAACAACAACACAGCCCGGAAATTCAAATGTCACAGTATTCCATTAACTAAACAAAATGTTTTATAATGTTATAAATAATATAATAAAAAGTAAGATGTAACTCTAAGAGGATAGTAAACATGCACCCATGTAAGACTAAGCACAAAAACAAACAGTTAAGACTTTTGAGAAACTTCCATTGTAACAGATAAAAGTAAGAAAATGTTTTCAGTTTTCTGTCTTGGCTTTGTAATGTAAAGAAGGCACTGGTGAGCTGTAATACGATTGTTCATGGCTGTAAGTGTTCCACAGGGTTTGAGTAAATTAAAACTATCTTACATAACTACATCAAAGTTCATCATGTACATTGTGAACAATCCCAACAACGTGTGAGAGTGACGAGAGCTGTTTGGCCAGGGTGAGACTAATGGAAAGCAAATATACTGATGCACTTACTGAAACTACTGTGAGATGTACTTTCTTGTTTCACATAATTACAACTCTCTTCCAAACCTATAATCCCTCTCTGACAAATATACAGTATCTAAATTCAGCCACTGGTTAAGCAGTGGAGAAAAAACGCTAAAGAATAGTTTTCAATGTTAAACACACTTAAAAACATGTTTTGTATCAGTAAAAACACATTAAAGTGCACAATCTCTAACAGTGGAAATGTAATGAGGTGCATTAAGTTTTCTAAGAGAGAAGAGGAATGTGCTTAGGATGTGGTCATACGACAAAAAACAAAACAATTTAACTGTTAAAAACATGTCAATCTAAGTCAAATTCAAATATAACATCTATGCTAAAGAGGGATAACTGTTAAAAGGGAGTAGATTTGGTGTGTAAGGCATTACATGTGAAAATATCAGAGTTTGAACTCATGTTTTCAAAGCCACTACATGTACACTTTCTTGACAAGGTTATCATAATTGCTGATCTATCAAATTCTTGATACTTATACCAGTTTATGTGTTTTCAAATGATACACCTAGGGGTTAAAAAATTATAATTCTGGTGATATTTCATTTTTCCTTTTTTTATCATTAAAAAAAATCCTATTTATACACTTAAAATATGAATGAATTGGTCCTACAGGTATTGTCTGTGTAGCCACAGGTTACTTTGTGCTTAAGAGTTTAAAACATCAATAAGGCATCTTTTGGGATAAAGTGGTGAGGAGTCGGGGCACAGGTGTAGCTCAGTCTGAAGAGCAGGTGCCTCATGTACAGAGGCTACAGTCCCTGACGCACTCAACACCCGATCAGCATGTCCCCCACTCTCTCTCCCCAAATGTTCTGTATCTCTAAAGCTGTCAAGGCCACAAAGCCCCCAGAGTAATCTTAATAGAAAAGTAATTCAGAGTCGCTGCAGGGTGTCCAGAATGACAATTACTTGATGTTTAATGTTCATCTGCAATTTTCTGTCATGGTCCAGGTAATATTTGTATGCTGAAGAAGCCCTTTACAAGGTGAAGCTACTTTGGAATTGAAAAAAAAAGATACATGCAGTTTTTACTGTTTTTCTGAGATCTTTCTCTAAAAGGAACATTTATTATTTTTAAGTGTTTAGTGTCAGAATGATTTTACATGTTCAATTAAATGTTGAGCTATGATTAAACTCTGCTCAAGCCTTTGGTGAATGAAGAGCGTTTTTCTCTTCTACTCTATTGTATGTTCTTCTGTTACAGGAGGTGAATTTATGTGGTTGTTTATATTATATCCTTAGCATCACTGCACTTCATCCAAAAATAAAACCTGTCTATTTTCTAAGATTTATGTTTTTAGCAGGGGAGAACTGTCTCTGAGCTTGTGGCTCCTAACAGGTTAGGTACTCATTGAAGAATGGAACAGCTTTTGGTCTTGTAAGGGGATTTGTTTACCATAAAAAAATATAAAATATCACCAGTTTTAGCCTTTAATGTGTAAAATGTGATCTAGAAGTTTTTAATTGGAGCATTGAATTCTGTTTATTTCAGGTTAAATGTAAAAATGTGCTTCTTTTTACAGCAGACTTCTTACATGTCATAGCAGAAAAACATGAATAGCTTACTTTAGCACTTCACAAACTTAATTATAAAAGTTGTTTAGCCACATACGTGAATTTTTTTCTGCTATGACTGGTTAAAATCTCTGCCTGAAATATATCAAAAATTGAAAATAAGTGTCATTAATGAATTGATTTAGAGGGGTATTGTGATGTCATGAAGTGGGGTCCAACATGAGGACAGACGGAGAAATCCTTGAGAGTGTGAAAAGTGTTCCCAGGAGAGAAAAGGAAGAATGAATGGAAGTGTTTTGTGTGTGTAAAAGTGTCCTCTTGGTTTAAATTAAAAAGACCCTCAGACTTCAGGTCTCAGAGTTCACCATTGTAGTAATGATGTCCAGCATGCTATCAAGTCCAATGAGATAACCATCTTCTCTGTTTCCCTCTACCCATGATGCTCGGTGCGTCAGTTCGTCCCCTTCAGGAAGAGGCGTGGTTTTCCCAAAGTCGATCATCCAGACTTTAGCCCGCCCCTTACTGTCGTGGACGAATAACAGGGAGCTGCCAATCACCTGAAGAGGCACACAGACAATGGGAAGAATGAGAAAACAGGAAACAATGAGAAAATAGCTTTCTTTCTTTTTTTACTCACATTACACATGTGTTTGTTTTGCTCACTTCCTGTTTTGTTACACAAACTTCTTCTACTCATATCTTCTGGTATGTGTGTGCACATATGTGTGCGGTGCGTGTGAGTGTGAAACTGAATGTATGCATGTGTGGTCAGGGCTGTTGATGTCCGACTCCAGTGACAAAACCTGCGGTGTATGTGTGAACTATGCTTGTCTGAGAGGCTTCATGTCACTAAATGAGCCTTAATTACTATATTAATTTGTTCAAATTTTGATGAAGAGAGACACAAAATAAACATCATATAGATCTGGAATTTATTCACAATTCAGACTTAGTGCAAAGTAAAGTTAAATTAACTAAAAATGTGAACTAAAATATACTTCATTACTCTCATTAATGTTTGGAAAGCTTAAATATTGGTAGGGATTTGGAGGCAAGTAACTGGACTGTTTGACTCATGTTAGTAGATAGACATTAAAAAACTTCTGAGTGCTGAGAAAAAAAAAAGTTTTAAATACAGTAACATTGCATCATCTAAAAACCCCCAAGACTTTCCACAAGACTTTCAAAGTCAGAAGACAAGTTTTATATTTCTCTATTCAGGCTATCAATCATACACGTTTTTCTTATTATGAAAAGATGGATCATATTTTTTTTTGTCTCTTTCTTTATACATTTGCATATAACCTGTGTAATCAGTTTTACGTCAATTATGAATGTATTCTTCTAGTAGCACAAAACAAGAGAAGCAGAGCAGAAAAACACTGTACTTGTCACTAGACGTGTGTGATTACCTCGTGAGCTTTGAAGAACGAGGAGGTCTCCAGAGTGTCTTTGATTTCCTTCAGCCGGGTTAAATAACAGTTCTGAAAAAAATAATACAACACAGGGTTTCTGAGAGAGCTGGTGATGGTAATGTTGAACACAAGTTGTTTATACTGATACACACTACAGTAAAGCTTTTATAAGGGAGGGGAATTGAATAAATATGTACACTAAACGCCTGTCTTGACTTATTAAATGGAAAAAAAAACACTTAACCCTTCAATAAGCATATGCTGTCATACACTAACAATGTGCAAGTTGTGTGTCTGTTTGTGTCTTTGTGTGAGATAAGAGGCCCAGGGAGTTCCCAAGGACTTCCCTTTTCTTCAGGCTCTTGAGGCTTAAGGTCGCATTGTGTTTGTGTGTAAATTTGTGTGTGTTTCCCATGGGGTTATTAAAACAGTACAGGACATTATTTTTCCATTACTTGCCTGTTTTTTTTTTTTTTTGTTCTACACAGGGGTCATGGCTGGTGACACACAGAGACACACAAATTGTATGCGCGCGCACACACACACACACACACACACACACACACACACACACACACACACACACACACACACACACACACACACACACACAAACACACACACACACACTTGAGTACAATCACACTCACCAGTATGTCCTTGTTTCCTTTGACAAAGTCCTGAAAGGCTGCAGTTACTTGGTCTCTCGTCTTAGTTTTCTTAAAATCTCTGTTCACAGTCCCATCTTCCTTCTGTAGAGGAGAGGAGAGGAGCGGAGAGGAGACATTTAGACATAGTATAATTCAAGAGATCCTAAGGTCGAAGATGAATGTTCATGTTTAGTATATTTACTCCTTCTCAGGTTTTTTTTGTATGGATGGGAAGGAAGGGAGTGTAGCAAAGGGATGGGAGGGAGGAAGGAGAAGGAGCAGAGGGGTGGAAGGACACGAAAATGCAACAAAGAGGTCAGGAAAATGTAGGCTATTTTTAGAGTTTCAGCTTCAAAGCGAGGAGTCTTTGTCTGTTTTACAGACCAGATACAGAAATACAACCCTCTGGTTAATCAGTAAGCATATTTTTGTCACTGTTTTCAAAAATGTTGACATGGAAACATCTTAACATCTGCTGGGGTCAAGGGGTCAACAGTAGGCCAAACGCTGAGATTAAATTACCTCTGAGGGAAACAGGGTGGGTGGTTGTCTACAGTAGTCACTAAACATTTTTTCCATTCGTAATTCATCTCTTAGTAAATGACTGTTTTGAATATATTAATTGTTTCAAGTGTCTGTGAGGAGGTTTTAACTGGTTGTCAAATTGACAGAAATGAATGGTGATGCTGCTTTATGACCTTAAAAAACAAGACTATCAGCAACAAGATTGATTCATTTTATATTAACATTTGTAATGCCTGTAATCACTTCAATGGGGAAGGCTTCAAACAAGACCATTTACAGCACGCTGAAGAAACAGACTTTTATTACATTTCCCACAGCAAATTTACAATGAGCTATATTTTGGATTATTAAAAGAAGCAGGATGACAGTTTTGATAGAAAATATTACCATCATATGCATAGGTATAAGACTTCCCACTTTGTCCACAGGGGGCGCTAAAATTTTCCAGAAACCGGAAATCCAAAGATCCAATGAAAAAAATGCACCGAGTTTCAAGAAAACTATGATAACTACTTCATAATCAAAAGAGATATACAATCATGTCTCTGCTGATGAGCTGGCTCTGACATTACAGCTGTCCTGTCACTCATCTGACAGACTGGTTTGACTTTTTTTAATTCAACAATGTCAATCGTCACAGTTCTCCTCTTGAGTCTTTCAAACCAAAAATTGAGTTACCGCCTTGTAAAATGTTCCAAATTGATTGGATAGAATTTAGCATAGCAAAGCCAGTTCTGGTAAAAGCAGAGAGGAAGCATTAGCAGCTGTATTAGTGGAGGCAGCGGACTAATTACATGTACAATATTATCAGAAGTAAAATAGTGTCAGAGAAAGTACCAGCAGTGGTCGCTAACCAGTGTGCTGGTTCACAGAGAAATAAATGAGCTTTTCTTCTGCTGCTGCTGCTGCCAGGCAACAAGGTACTATTTGAAGGCAAAACTATTTCTTCCTTTTAGGTCCAGGTCTGAGTCCAGCTCTATTACTCTCTCTCTCTCTCTCTCTCTCTCTCTCTCTCTTTTTCCATATATATGAACTTAAAACAATCTTCTCCACATTTACAAAACGACTGCACATGAACTTCATAACCTCCACATATCCCCATCCAACACACACACACACACACACACACACACACACACACACACACACACACACACACACTCTCTGTTTCTGGGGATAACCCTCAGTCTCATGGCAACAGACCACCCGGAGGCCGTGAATGTCCTTATATAGCCACAACCCCTTAAAATGAAGACAGCAGAGACCGAGATTTGTGTGTGTGTGTGTGTGTGTGTGTGTGTGTGTGTGTGTGTGTGTGTGTGTGTGTGTGTGTGTGCGTGCGTGTGTGTGAGCATAATGTCAATGCCAGATGCTGAAGCATGCAGAGCTGCCACAGACAGGCCTCGTGTAAGACAAAGGAACTTCTGCACAGCGTTTATTTCAGAGGAAGTTCCTGTCCAAAACAGGAAGTACAACCATGCCCCTGAAGGACACACACACACCTTCACAAACAGACACAGTAATCCCTGGAAAAAAGGGAGGGAAGGAAGGCCGCACACATACACATTGTGAGTCTTACCTTGACTCCCTCTATCCTGAACCCCAGGGTGGCCGTTGAGCTGATGGTCTCTCTCCACTGCATGTATCTGGGTTTAGTCACCACTTTCTGCTCGTTCTCCTCAGGCGTCGGCGCCTCGGGGTCAACCTCGATCATTTTCTGATACATGTCGGGTCTCGGTGAAGGCTTCTTGCGAGCCTTAGTCAGCTCTTCCTCAAGGTAGGTCCTGAAGCATGAGAAGAAAACATGAGAAGCTGTAAAGAATATCAACATGTCACACGTTCACATGATCCTTTAATTAAATCTGGAGCTTTTCGTCTTATTAACTACTGATAAGGATAGTTCTCGATTATTTCAATTAAGGTCTCTAGTTCTACAGTTTTTGCCCAGTATCTTTATTGGCTCTGAAACAAAGGCGATCAAACAATCAATTCTCAAACTTCCTGGCTTATCTTTAACCAAAAGGACTCGTAGTTAGCACAACTTTTGTGTTTATGAGACCTGTTATCAATTTTCCTGAGAGACACTTTCGGATTGTGTTAATTTTGGCACCTCTTGTGGACAAAGCAGTACTTCTTAACTCTTCACTGATTTTGTCAATGTGTAAGTATTGATTTATTTACATACAATCACATGCTGCAGTATTTTAACAATCAAACTTGTCAGACTATTTACTGTAGAAAAATGGAAATTAAGGCAGTTTTGGCTTGGTGGAAATAATTGTCTGCTTCATTCCCCACAGCAGCATTTACAGACATTAAAGCCTAAATACTATAAAGGAATAGCCAACCTTGTTGCTGATGGTGTGGTTTGCTTTTGTAGGTCAAAGAGATGCATCTGTATTAATTCAGGTGTGTTTCATAACCAGTTAAAAACTCCTCACAGGATCTTTAAAGATATTTAGCATTTTGGGCTTTAAGTGCAAACTCCTGGGTTTGTTTCCCTCTCATACAAAGTTGCTAGGTGTTGTCTTTTTACCAAATCTTGGTTATTTTCAGAACAAGTATATCATTATCAACAACAAACTGTAAAATCTTTCAAATGAATTAATCAAGCATATTTTGAAAACACCTGACGCTTGTATTTCTTTGCAGATTAAAGAAACAAAGACATGTTTGTACTTTGGTGTGAATGCCTTTTTGAAATCTATCATCATTGTTTGTCTGTTGTTAAAAGACTTCTAGCCCACGTCTTGCTATTATTTATGTAATGTCATGTGATTTTCTATTTCTTCATACCTCACTCCCATTTTGCAGTCCATCACACATGGGAAGTCAAACTCGGCAAGCAGATCCTCCATCTGGTTGTATTTCTGGCCATCTTTCTCTACGTCTCCATGGTAACCAGGGACAAACGGGCGCAGAACGTCCCTCATCAGGAGGGACAAACAGCGCTGCTCACAGTCACAGTGTTTCTGAAATACATCAACGCCAAGTTATAATCTATCTACAGTGTCTGCTACTCTGATGCATGATCAACATGCAGAACTTCTTGCATCTGACCCTGAGATCTTTTTTGATTTTTTTTCACGTTTTAAACACGACCTGCAACATATCCTTCCAGATTTGACAGATAAATCAGAGTCTGTTTATAACCTGGCTCATGAAATCATCCTGAGTTACACACATCCCAGTTTAACCGGGGACTCTGTCTGAGATAACTTTACTCCCAACTACTTGGAACTGACCAGCGCCTGGTTTAAGGAGATAGTTACTTCTTCATGTCAGGCTCTGCTCAGCTCAGTACCATGACTGTCTAAGGATGAAAGTCAGGACTAAGTAAAAACACAAGTAATTTGATTATATATATTAACGGAGCAACATGGGTTGCTATATATGTTCTCTTACACATGATTCTTTCAACACAGTGAAACCTTTGTTTACCATGTGGATGATACTGGCCTCCCTTACCCAGCCGTTACATCCTGTCAGGAGGTTGACATGTAAAGGGGCTTGATGCACACACACACAGATGCACACACAAACACAAGTGTGTTTTAGAACAAAATATTAACATTTTGACACACAAAAAATATCTTACTTTTAAAATTCTCCCGTTAGCTCCCGCTTTGAAGCTCCCTGAAAAAAAAAAAGAACTTTTAGTGTGGAGAAAGAGATCAAATACTTGTAGCTTTGGTTAGGAAGAGAGGGCTGAAGTGAGAATAGGAGTTAGGAAATAAGTGATTTTTTTTACAAATCTTTTTTTGTTTGAAGATAATCGCTACATAAGTGAAAAAATAAGAAGCAAAAACAGAGCTGCCATCCTAATTTCATTTTCTGTGTGGATTTGGACAAGCCTTTAAAACATCTTTTAAAAAGAGGATTCAAATACTGTTTTAAATTTCCAACACAATTTCCATTCAAACAAAGATGAAATGTTTATTAATTTGTTTTTTTTTACGATTGAATGATCGTAGAATTACAACGTAAACCTAGAGCTAAGTGTTTGTAGGGTTTTATAATCTGACTGGTTTAAAGAAAACCTCTGATGTGTGACTGAAGGAAAGAGAGGTATTAACAGTAGGCGTGTAGTCTTATTGACCATGTCTGTTAAGTGTCTGTATACCTGCATGTCCAGCCAGTTGTATCCAGGGGTATTTCTTCTTGAAAGACATGACAAACGGAGACCAATGGACCATGTTCTTAATCTTCTTCCATGACTTGTGCTGTAAACACAGACCACATAAGTTATTAGCCCTCAGAATAATAATTTATCAGTGTGGGCAACCATATGCTCCATCAATAACAAAACATAAACATGACTGGAACACAATTGATCTTTGAGTTTAAACTTGACTCAGTAAATCTGACTCTCTTGAGTGTTTTCTGTTTCTGTTAAAACTATTTTGACCCTTTTGGAGACATGATGTATGAGCTTATCCTTTTACTGTGGATGTTTTTTTTTTGAGGACCAG